GGTTTACCTTCACAAACCTTCCCAATGTTTTTGCTGTGAAGGTTTAGCGTTATTTAAGTGGTCTCATAAAAACAGTCTGGTTTCACATGATCCCAACCATATATATATATATAGAGAGAGAGAGAGACGCTCAATTGCAACTTGATTTGTGGTTGTGAACTAGGGATAAAGGAGAGCACAATACGTATCCCCGACTTCCACATTCAATATAAATAACGCAGGTGAAGTTCATGAACTATTTATGATGAATCATGATGAATAATACACAATCATGGTCCATAATAAATTGATTTACTATTCATGATGAATAATACTCATTCATCGTTATTCATGATGAATAACCCATGAACGCATGAGACAAATGTCACGCTCTGCTTTGTCCCCGATTCAAAATCAAAACTTAGTTTTCATTTGAACTCGTCTCTATATATTAGACTATTCTTCCTCCCCCTTCCCCACAATCCCCCGCCCTCATTACAAACCCATTGTCCTATTTCAATACTACTTCAACAACCTTTCTCCTCCGTTACTATCACCATCTCCAGCTCAAATTTCTCGATTATCATTGTTGCCACTAACTTCATTTGAATATACGCCATGGATCCCATTGATGTAACCACCACATCCATACAAAACCACCCCCTCACACACATAATGTGAAGAACCCAAATAAATCAAGGTGTGAATAAAAAAGCAAACGAGACAGGAAGTGTACTTATTTAAAATGGGGACAATATCCTGAGCAAACCACGAGGGGCCAATGGTGTAATTTACTTTTTGTATGCTATTTTTCTTAAAGTAAATTGCATTTTTGGTTCCTATGGTTTGTTGATTTTATTGGATCAGGTTCCCATAAAAGTTTTTATTATACAACATCTCTCGTGGTGTAAAAATGCTTGATTTTGGTCCCTAAAACTAATTGATTTTAACCTTGAGGTGTTAACTCCCTTCATTTGAGAACAAAATTGGGATTTTGACGTGACACTGACATGAACTATTAATATTGTATTGAATATTGTTTTCAACCATCATCCACCACCATCAATCATCTACCATCTTGACCACCACCAACACCTACTAAAATTAGAAACAAACAATTAAAAAAACATTGAATATAAAAATCAAACATTGACTAAGAACATAAAAATATACGAACATAAATACAAACTGAACCCCTTAATAAAACTCTAAAATCTTAAGGCTAAAATCAAAATAAACCTATATCTCGTGCCCTAATAACCCCTTCGACTGCTTCACACAGAAAGAGAGATTTATAATTACAGATTGGATTCATGATTTACGGTTACATATCAAGGGCTTCGTCTGCGTGCCTGGTCTGAAGGGATTCACGATTCAAGGATAGGGGTTTGAAGACTATGTATATAGGTAGTGGCAGGATTATTCATATAGGAGAAGAGGGATACGGTTTTCGGTCTCTAAAAAGGATGCTTTAATGATAGAAACAAGTATTATACTAATTAATTTACATTTTTAAATAATAAAAAAAATGAAAAAGACTATAACGTCCTTGACTTAACAATTCTTTTAGACATGTTAAAAGGAAAGGATCAAAATGCAACATTTTCATATACCACAGGACTTTTTTACAAAAAAAAATGTAAGGAACTAACTGTAAAAAAAAAAAAACCCAACAAACCACAGTGACCAGAAAATGCCATTTTACTCATATTCTTATTTAAAATGTGTACTAACCTAATGTGTCATAAAAGTAAATAACTTTAAATGATCAAAGTATTTTGAATAAAGTACACTTTTACAAAATATAACACAAATTGCAAAAAAAAGTGGGTCAATTGATGGGGACAAAAGTCAAGGGGGAGAGAGCTACTTAGGAAAAAAGCCATTTGGGATTTACCTTTTCTTAACTCAAAAATTTTAAAAAAGATGGAAAATATTTAATTGTATTATTGAAAATAATCACTTAAAAAAGTGATATTATTATTATTATCTGAAAATTAGATTCTCATTTTATGGTTTTAGTGTTTAAAATTTTAGATTTTTTTATGAGATTTGATTTATTTTGTATGATAATAATTACATATGTTTTGTTGGTCAACATAAAATATATATTAAAAAAAGGTAAAAGAAAAAAGAAAAAGTAGGTTTTTTTTATTATATTGGTAATTCTACTTGTTTAGTAGAAGAGTAATTATTAGAAGGGTATTTGTATAATGTAACGAGATAAATATTGATTTTAATATTTTATTTTATTATTTATCTCTGTTGATGTTATAATATGGTCCTATGTGATTTTGAAAAAGTGATGATGTTTTTATTTTTTGAATAAAATATAAATTTAATAAAAAATATCGATATTAGTATCAATTTAATTATTTAAAATTTCCCATTTTTTATGTGATTTTTTAATTCAATTTTTTTATTATAATTTAAATTATGTTCAATAACGAAGTGATTTATATTTGGTTTAATAATGTAATTTTCTTATAAAGATAATAATTAGTTATTTTGTTAGAACTCGATAATTATCTTAATTGTATTTTATATTTTAAAATAAGATGTTTATCCTCTGTTTGATTATGTTTATCCGCAGTTAGTTACACAAATTCAAACATGGAACTTTAATAAGTTGTACTTATGCATAATTTACTTGTAATTTTGAATTTTAAGTAATATGCATCAATATACAGTTAAATAATTGTTGTTTTTGTAGATTCATATAGGAATCAAATATTTGAAGCGAACAAACTGATGCGATGTTTGGTCAGAGGTATTAAGCAATAATCAATGAGACTTAAAATAAAATAAATTGTTTAGTAATATATATGTAATGTTCTCATTCTCTCATAAGCCCAAACTTTCATTCCGGATTGAACCGGGAAAAATGAAAATTCATTCCCATTTTCATTCCATGTCATTTTCATTTTCATGCTTACTTAAATATATTCAATATTCACCATGTTAATTTATTTCGTTACCTTTCATTAATTATTTAGATATTCGATTAATACATTTTTTTGGAATGAACATAGAGTAGATTTAGATATAGTGAATCTATCTATTTTTTTGTGAAACATGTGAGACCATATTTGTGTCGTTGGATGATCAATATTCACTGTAAAAACACCAAAAACGAATCTTCATAGTACTTTCCTATGTGAAGGTTCGTCAACCAACAACTCTAAGGGGCCGTTTACCAAACGCTTATCTAGATAAGCGCTTACCAAGTGAAATTACCTTACCGAATCAATATGTCAAGGATGAAGAATCTTACCAAGTAAGAGCGAATGCAAGGACTGAGAGTCTTACCCGGTAAGTGACGACGACTCTTACCACGGTTAGCACTTACCAAGTTAGTTGTTGCACACGATACTGTTTTGGTGGACTAAAATCTTACCTGGTTAATAATTCATAGTTTTGAAATTTTCCGGTAAACACTTACCCAGGTAAGTGTTGGTAAACAACACCTAAGATGATCTCTTATGGGTCACACGAAAATGAGTTGTCTATTGTACTTGTACAATACAACAACATGTAAAATTTAATGTAAATTGAGTATAAAAAATTAATACAATCCGTCATTAAAAAATAAAATATGAAATTAAATTTATGTTCGAATAAAATAGATTTATAATAATTTATAACCATACATTTTTGTATGTAAATGCAAAATATTTTAACTTGTTTTTGATTTTTTTTCTAAAATATTTATCTTTTACAGACTAATTTTTCAAGATGCTTTTAATTACATCAACACTCTTAAAAAATCAACTCAAATTTATGCAATTATCTATAATGTATTATAAAATATTTGACAAAAACTCTTAAAAATCATTTTTTATGCATGAAGTACTGTTTATTGATGTATATTATTTAAAATTCAAGATTACAAATAAATTGTGCGTAAGTATAACTTATTAAAGATTCATGTTTAAATTCATGTAACTAACGGGAGATAAACATAGTCAAATTCAAGATAAACATTTCATTTTAAATATAAAAGATCTAGGATATAACTAGGATAATCATTAAATTATAACAGAATACTTAATTATTATTCTTATGAAAATTATATTATTAAATCAAGATAAATTAATTCGTTATTACATTTAAATTAAATTATGATAAAAAAACTGAATTAAAGAAATTACACAAAAAAAACGATAACTTTTAAATAGTTAATTTTATACTAATATTGATATATTTATTTTCGAAATTTTATAATATCTTCAACTTTATATTTTTTTTCCACAAATAAATACATTATCCATTTCTTAAAACCATATTATAACATGTACATTAGTATCAAATCGAAACATTAAAATCGAGTACCTTTTAAATAGTTAATTTGATATATTTATTTTTGCATTTTTATAACATTTTCAAATTTATATTTTATTCAAAAATAAAAACATCATCTTTTTCTCAAAACCATATTATAACATTTACATTAGTATCAAATCAAAACATTAAAATCAAATGAAACACTAAAATCGAGATTTATCTCATTGCATCGCGTGAGTACCATTCTAGTAACAACTAATAACAAAAAAAACATAGCCTTTAACGTGTAGCTCAATTGGTAAAGGAGTGATGTAAAACCTCCCGCTAACCTTAACCACCGGAGTCAGCAAAAAACGTCCACTCACATTCGTGTCTTTGAAAACATGTTCAAAAACCAACTAAAGTTGTTGGTGATCAACTTTTTGCTCAAATAAAAAAAACATCTGAAAAATTAAATTAAAGTATAACAAGCTTATATTAAAAAAATAAATTCAAAATCAAAAAAGTATATATAACCAATATAATATTTTGTTTAAATTTAATTGTATAAAAACACCTAACAACCTAAGATAATAATAATATTATTGTTTATTATTTATATAAAATAATATATAAATAAATAAATACTTTTGTTTTGAAGGAAGATAGAGGGTATAAAAATGAACATCCGCACCACTCACTTAACCCCTCTCAAACACAAAACCAACAACAAAGGTCAACAAGCTCCTCCGTAAAAAGAAAACCAGAAAAAAGGAAGAAGCATTCATCTCTCTCTCCTCTCTTCTCTCCATGGCAATTCAATTAATGGCCGCCTGTTTCAAGAGTAAGCGCTGAATCTACAACCTACCCATCATCATTCATTGTCTTATTCACAGTCGAAACCCTCATCTTCCTCCTTCCTTTACCATTTCTCTCTCTAAAAACCCTCCTCGATTCTCGTGCCTACCATTCACTCTCTTCAATTATTCTTCAAAACCCACTCCTCATTGTTCGATTCAGCTCTTCTTGCTCAATACCCACTTCGAGATCTGTTTTTTTTTTGGGTGTTTTTGGGTGAAAGAATGGGGAGCAAATGGAAGAAAGTCAAGATGGCTTTGGTGTCTAATTTGTGCGTTTATGTGCCTAAGGCTGATGCAGACGATTCTCCGCCGCATTCAGATGGGTTTTCCGATGCTGCCTTGTTGTCTCCGGCGCCGGCGGCATGGAGCATGAGCGGCTCCGCTACTCGTCCGGCGTCTCCGAGCTTACGATTATCTAAAAGCTTCAACAGATCTTCCAAGGTTTATTTTATTGCTTATTTATTTTAATTTATACTTCAAATTTTGACCTTAGAAATTTAGGATTTGTTTATTATGTATCAGGAATTTAATTATCTTGTTTTTTTCTTTATTTTCCTTGGTGGCTGTTTTTGTTTTTTTCTCTGTTTTCTTGCTTAAAAGCAGATAAATCAAATTAAGTCAAATTAGCTTCCCAAAGAGGACCAAAATCAAGGGGAAAAAGTAAACTAAAAAAATTAAAGATAATAATTTAAAAAAAAGATAAATTTTCTCGGTTCGATTGATGCAAATTCCCACTTTTTCTTTTTTAAAATCTTTGCTTTTTGTTACAAACATCTCCCAAGAAAACTTGTATGTTTCTTGAATCTTGATACGGATTCTTTCAATGGTATTGAGCCCTTCCCCTTATGGGTTTGAAGGTCAGGGGTTTGATTCTTGTGACCATTTATTCATGTGTTCTTCATTCCGTGGGTTCCATCTTCGCTGGACCCATTAAACCACTCTTCCAATGGACCCACACAAGAAATAGAACCCTAATTCTTCTAATTTGATTGCATCCTGTTTCTTTGAACTCTTGTGAAGCTTTGAATCTTGTTATGTGTCTGAATGGTAAATGGGTTTCCATGATTTTCTTCATTTGATCTCGTGATGTGTGGATTCGATATCAATCGTTTTCATGGCACTTGGAGATTTATGCTTTTATGAATTCACTCATTTAGCAACTGTTCATGCTTTACATTTCCTTTTCACTGTATGACTTTATGATCCTTCTTTAGGAAAAGTAGAGATTTAGAGCTGTTTGTGGCCTCATTTGTTGACTATCGACTTCTGGGCTTTGTGAACTTCATAATGATCAAGAAGATGATTTAAGAAAGAAGACAAAAGAAACTCCAAAAACGACCAAAAACATTTGTCTCAACCTCTTATGATGAACCCTTTTCTTGGTTTCTGAATGTAGTTGTTGTTTGTGTTTGATGTTGTTGTCTTCTAGTTGCCAAATGAATCTTGTTTTGCCTTATCTCCTGGACTTTATGCACATGTATCTTGTTTTGACTTTTGAAAGTCAAACAAAATGCTTTTCGACTTTGAAATTGATATGAATTTGTTTAGTTTTGTGATAAATTGACAGATGGGTTAAGTTATACCATGATTTTAATGAAGAAAAAACATAACTTTATGGCAGGATTTGTTGAAATAATTTGAATTATCTTTGAATTAACAAATACATGGTTTTGACTTTCAAAAGTCAAAAAGCGCAAGATTTGTCATTTGTGTATGTTTACAGTTCAAAGTTCATATCTTTTTAAGAATTATGTGATTCTTGTTATGATTTGTTTCACGAATGCGATAATTCTTGAAGAAATCGTGACATTTTTGTTGTTCTTGCAGAAGACGTGCACGATATGTTTAGCTTCAATGAAACGTGGAGAAGGGCAAGCCATTTTTACAGCGGAATGTTCACATTCGTTCCATTTCCAGTGTATTGCTTCAAACGTGAAACACGGTAATCAAATCTGCCCAGTTTGCAGAGCGAAATGGAAAGAAGTTCCGTTGCAGGGTTCTACTGGTTCCGGGCCTCCTTTAGGAAGAACAAGAATAAATCCTGTAAATTGGTCACAAGACAATCCCGTGATGACTTTACTCCGCCCAATACCGCCTCGTCCAAACAGCCCCCGCCATGCTGCCGCTCCGGTTTTCCCGGTCCCGGAACCGACTGTCTTTAACGATGATGAACCGTTAGACCTTAAATTTTCAAATAGAACTTCATCAGACAGCTGTTCTTTGAAGAGGGTATCAGTCAAAACCTACACCGAGGTTCCAGCTGTTCCACGGTTCAGTGCTGCTGCTGATTTTACGGTTTTGATCCACCTCAAAGCTCCGGTTTCGAATTCCGGTCCTACGGTGAGCCAGGCTAACCGGATCCCACGAGCCCCAGTTGATCTGGTCACGGTTCTTGACATCAGTGGAAGCATGGCTGGCACAAAACTCGCCTTGCTTAAACGGGCCATGGGTTTTGTCATACAGAATCTTGGACCAGCGGATCGGCTGGCAGTGATCGCCTTCTCTTCCACCGCCCGCCGCCTCTTCTCGCTTCGGAAAATGTCAGATATGGGAAAGCAACACGCCCTTCAAGCTGTCAATTCACTGGTGGCAAATGGTGGCACTAATATCGCCGAAGGTCTGAGAAAGGGCGGCAAAGTGATGGAAGACCGCCGGGAGAAAAACCCCGTTTCGAGTGTAATACTGTTATCAGACGGGCAGGATACTTATACCGTGACTAGCGGTCCAAACCCTGGTGGAGGCCAAAACCGGTCAAACTACCAGTTACTCCTTCCCCAATCTATCCATGGTGGTGAAGGTGGTTCCGGAATCAAGATTCCGGTCCATGCTTTCGGGTTCGGATCGGACCACGATGCTTCGTCGATGCACTCGATCTCCGAAATATCTGGTGGGACGTTTTCGTTCATCGAGACCGAAAGCGTGATTCAAGATGCGTTTGCACAGTGCATCGGTGGACTTTTGAGTGTCGTGGTCAAAGGTGCACAGGTGATCCTCGAGAGCGTAAACCCGAACGTTCTTCTCGGATCTTTAAAGGCCGGTAGCTACAAGAATTACTTGATGGCCGATGGAAAATCCGGATGCATTGATGTCGGAGATTTGTATGCTGATGAAGAGCGGGATTTTCTTGTTTCGGTCAACATCCCGACGGAGTTGACTTCTAGCAACAAGACTTCTTTGTTGAAGGTGCGGTGCCATTACACCGACCCGTTGACCAAAGAGACGGTCAACTTAGAGAGTGAAGTTGTCGGGATCAATAGACCGGAAAATCTTGGGCCAGAAGTGGGTGTTTCCATTGAAGTTGATAGACAAAAGAACAGGTTACAAGCAGCAGAAGCCATGGTACAAGCAAGAACTGCAGCTGAAGAAGGTGATCTGGCACAAGCCATGGGTACCCTGGAGAAGTGCCGACGGATCCTCGCCGAAACCGTCTCGGCGAAATCTGGTGACCGTCTCTGTGCGGCACTCGATGCGGAGCTCAAGGAAATGCAAGAGAGGATGGCTAGCCGACACATGTATGAAGCATCCGGAAGGGCTTACATATTATCAGGGCTAAGCTCACACTCGTGGCAAAGAGCCACGGCTCGTGGAGACTCAACCGATGGTTCAAGCCTGGTTCAATCCTACCAAACCCCATCAATGGTTGAGATGCTGACTCGATCTCAAGCTTCTCTTTTGGGCAGCCCTTCGGCACAAAGACCGATCCGTCCTGTGTGGTCGTTCGCATCACAGCCAAAACCAAGGTAAAGGGTTACATTCCGTTTTTGGGGTTAGGAAGCGCGATTTTGGGTGTCGATAACTTTTTCGTGCTTTAGATGTGTAAAGCAATAAAGATGTGGTGATTGGGGGAGAGGGGGTATAAATGGTGATAGGGGAAAGATAAGGGGGTTAGGGTTCTTGATTTTTGTTTTTGTGGTTCAGATGTTCTTCCTTGTGTAATTTTTGGGGGTGATGTACATAAGGAGAAATGGTTCTTTTCTTTTCTTTTCTTTTTGGGTTGGGTATAAGCTTTGTAATTGTGGGGGGATAATTGGGGGTGAAGGCTTTGGTTCTATTATGACATAAGACCTCTATAATGTGATTCTTTCACAACTTTTATGCTTTCATTGTCTTTACTTTCATGGGTTTGGGTTGGGTTGGGTTTACGTGAGACCAAAGGTTTTTCATGAGACCCTATGTTTATTGATCAACTTTATAAGCTAATTGTCTAATTATCGGGGACATGGATGTTTAGGGTTTGATATTTGAGAAAAAGGGGGTTTAGGTTGATGAATAAAGGAAAGTGAATTTGATTGGTTGATTGATTTGAAGATGAGGATGAGGATGGAAAAAAAGGGTGAGTTGTTCACCTTTGGTTACACATGGGTGGCCCATGCCACAATGGTGTACCATCATAGTCATGGCCGCCTTTTGATGGTGGTATAGGTGGTTTTACACTCTGATTTCCACATTTCGCTTGTATGAAACTTTGGTTTTACAGTTTTTTTTGTAAGAAAGAAATTTGGTACTTTATGTATTCAGAAGGTGTACATGATGGATTAAAGGTGTACTGAATGATGGGTTGCAATATGGGTTGTGTGGCAATCTTCAAAGCATGCAACCTCTTGCAAGAATCTTGAATGTACCACATCATGGTACTACTAAAAGGTTGAATCTTAATGTGGTACCATGGTATAACTAAAGGTGTTCAAAAACCCGATTAACCTAGTCCAATCCAACACGAAATAACCTAACCTGAAGCAACCTGATGTCTAATCGAGATGTAAAATTGTCAAACCATATGTATTGGGTTGCTATTATTTGAACCAAACCCAATCCGATGAATCCGATATCCTTTTATTTATTGGATTTAATATGATTGTTGAATTTTTGTTAATATGTACATTAGACAATTACACTATCATATATGCTCTTCATATATACATATTTTCAATCTATTCACATCTTTATATAATTCATTCGTATATATGTTCAGTAATTGTGAACATATATATATGTAAATTGAGAAAATTAACTGAATGTGATATACGTTAAGAAGTATGAATAAGTTGTATCAAATGGTTGTTGATGGAAAAAAAATTATGTGTAGAGAAATAACATATTGTATGTTAGAAAAATATTTTAATGTATCAAAGTATCAACCTTATCAATCTGACCAACCCGTACGGGTTGGGTTGCACTTTGGTTCGGGTTGGGTTGGGTTAAAAAATTTCAAACCGCAAGCATTAAGTTGGGTTGTTCAAATGTCTTCAACCCGATCAACCCAATTTGTGAGCACCCCTAAGTATAACCCCATTTAGCAAGGTAATTGTAAGAGGAAAACTAGAAGGGTACTTGGATAATGCAACGAAATACATTTTAATTTTAATATTTTGATTTATTTCTTCTTCTTTTTTGTCTCGGCCAATATTATAACGGTTTTATGTGGTTTTGAGAAAACGTAATGTTTTGATTTTTGAATAAAATATAAATATGAAGATGTCATAAAAAAATGAAAAAAATATTGGTATTAATATCAAACTAACTATTAAAATTTCTTGTTTTTTACGTATTTTTTAATTTATTTTTTAATTTTTGATTTAATAATATAATTTTTTATAAAGATAATAATTAAGTATTTTGTTAGAAGTCAATAATTATTCTAATTATATTTTAGATTTTTATATTTAAAATGAGATATTTAATCTCTATTTGATTATGTTTATCTGTAGTTAGTTACACAAATTCAAACATGAATCTTTAATAAGTTGTATTTACGTATAATTACTTGTAATCTTGAGTTATAAGTAATATACATCAATAAACAGTATTTCATGCATAAAAATGATTTTTAAATTTTTTTATTAAATACTTTATAATATAATATAGATTATATATATAACAACTTAGTTATTTGACAACTCTTAAAGTTATTTTTCTTGGCTATTTATTTGATTTAATTAATCATATTTATTAAATAAATATAAAAGGATAATTATGTAAATATTTAGGCCAACTCATAAATCAATATATTTATTTTCCTTATATAATTCTTTAGGTTATTGAAATTTCGTTCTCAATTTTAAAAGACTAGAAGGGTACTCGTACAATGCATCAAGACACATCATGATTTCAGTGTTTTGTTTTATTCCTTTTTTATGTCGATATAATACGGTTTTATGTGGTTTTGAGAAAACGATAATGTTTTTATTTTTAAATAAAATATAAATTTAAAAATATTATAAAATTTTAAAAATATATATATCGATATCAGTATCAAATTTATCTTTCAAAAAGTTCTTGTGTTTGGTGTAATTTCTTTAATTCAATTTTTTAATTATAATTTAATTTAAATTTAATAATATAATTTTTAAAAAGATAATAATTAAGTATTCTGTTAGAATTTAATGATTATCCTAATTATATTTTAGATTTTTTTATATTTAAAATGAGATGTTTATTCTGTATTTGATATGTTTATCTGCGTTACAAGAATTCAAAGATAGAGCTTTAATAAGTTGTACTTAAGCACAATCTACTTGTAATCTTGAATTTTAAGTAATATGCATCAATAAACAGTATTTTATGTATAAAAAGTAGTTTTAAAAGTTTTCGTCAAATACTTTATAATATAGTATAGATATGTGAAAATGGGTTAGTCTTGGAAGTGAGGCGTAACTTTTTTTTCCTGCTTTTAGGATATGTAGTTTTTTTTTTTTTTTTTTGTGTTATTGGTGGTGTCGTACATATTATGTTCACGATGTGTAATATAAAGATGTGGTCACAACCGATAATTGAAATAATATATTTAATAATGATTCACATTGTGATACTATAGGATTTTGGTTCTAACTTAATTGGAAATGTTTGAGTAGTGTTTAAATTTGAATATTGATTTTGTTCGCAACGTGTTCACATACCAGTTTTTGCAGATTCACGATATGCTCATTATATTCACATGGTGTTCACAAGTGGTAGGTTTAGATGTAGTTTTGTTAAGTTATTTAGTGTTCATAATGTCTTATATTACTTGTTAGGTTTAGTTTAAATTTTTTTAGGTAACGTTTTTAATATGAGGAGAGAGGTTAATTTTAAAAAACCTATAAATCCCTTTATTTGATTTTGTAATTCAAAATTATCAAACTTAATAACTTTACAATTTTTGTTTTCGTATTTTTAAAATTGTTGTTTTTGTCAATAAGATTTAACTTTGTTCGTGTTTATATTAAGTATAAGAGACGAAAACAACAATAAATTGTAACTCACATTAACAAAAACCACAATGAAGTGTAAACTATAAAAACAAAAACCGTAATATTAAAAACAACAAAACCAAAATATAAAATTTCAACAAACCACGTGGGTGAAAACCGTAGTTTACTCTTCATTTTAGTTTTGCATATGCATTCTTTTCTTTCTTTATTCATAAAAAACTTTTAAGTGTATGATTTAATGTTTCTCTGTGTTTCATTCTGTTTTAATGAAGAAACCTCCATGGTTCCATTTTCCATGTTCTTGATTGCGTGCATCATCGAGTTGGCCTGCTCGAGCAACTTCTTATTAAGATGATGTTTGATGCCTACCTGTTGAGGGGTTATTTACCAAATGTTTAACGGTTAAAGGTTTATCAGCAAGAGTCATAATCCTCATTTATCTTATCAGATATTATTCATTAATATTTCATTTTGCTCTATATTACTTAATTATTCTGACAACTTAATATTCTGTACCTAACACCCCCTTGGCTCATAAACGTTAACAGGATAGGAGTTGTCAACAGAATCTCTGTTCTTGGTCTTGCCCTTCTTGGTTTTAACTATAACTTATGACCGAGTTAACCGATGGAAATGTTCCCAGATTACCCTTTTGATCCTCTGACCGAGTTGCTTCTTTTCCTCGTCGCATCCTCGTTGCTCTCCTCTCCTCTCAATCTCACTGCTCGCACCTCTGCTCACCGTCTTCATTGCTCGCGCTGTGGTCGCTCTGTTTCTCGTGATCTTCGATTTGCCATCTCTCTCGATCTATTTAGGGCTTCGATCTGCGATCTGCGATTTACGGTTCGCTTCTGTTTCTTAAAATGAAATTACTCATCTGTGTTGCGATTTGGATTTTGTTCTTACAGAATTTGGTGGATGGATTTGCTATATCATTGAACGATCTTTAGGAAATAAAATAAAATAAAATAAAATAGCTAGTACATTCTTCTTGTCCTGAACATCTAGACTCCTAAATCCTCATTAATTTCTTGAGGAACTAATGGCACTTGGTCTCTGTTTAAAAATATACAAGCCTATGTATATGATGTACAACTCAAATAGCATAATCTAGAACCGACAGTTACTAGAGCAGGTTGTTTCATGCATTATGCTACCTGTAGAGCAGAACCCCTTTTAAGGTCAATATGGCTTCATGCTACGGAATTAACTAGAAGGGATTTTATCGGTTAGGTAAGAAAGGTAAAATGGAGAAGACATGAACTTTATATGTTGTTTAAAGACATAGAGAAGTCATTTGATAGAATTCCAATGAGAATTCTGTGGTCCTTGAGAAGAATATGCCTGCAAAGTATCTAGATGTCATTAAGGATAAGCAATTTGCTTGAAAACATGGGTGATAAGATGGATTATAAATTATAATTGCACCAAGTACATAACATCTATAGATGAACTTATAAATCATATGTCAGATAAAATGTCATCTTTCATGCTATTTGTAGACGACATTGTGCAAATTGATTAGATGACATATTTTAACCAACGCTTGTAGATAAAGTGAAACTAGTATACTCTTTGTGACTTTAGAAATACCAGTAGAGATTTGAAGGTTTGGTATGTAGGTAGCATACAGGAGCATAGGAGTTTAAGAGGGATGTTTGAGATACTTGAATTCTAGGATGTGATCCCGCTTTGTGATGGTGAAGTGATCTATATATTTGTTAGATAGTCTACAAGCAATGCACAACTCACAATCAGAAGACATAAATGTCTTGATCATTAGTAGTATTATGATCTACTGAAACCATGTTCCATGGGATTTATCTTCTTTGTATTCTCGATATTTTTTTGTAAGGGTGTCCGGGCCAAAGCCCGACTAATCCCCGGCAATTTTGGAGGCTAAACATGGCCCCACTTAAATGTCGCCAACACTCCCCTCCCAGGGCTCGAACTCGGGTTCATGACTATGCCATGTCCAAGCCTTTACCACTAGGCTGGAAGGTCTTTGACTTGTATTCTCGATATTATTGGTCACTTTGGTGGCAATTTAGTCACCCATCATCGTCGAAACGTGCTTTTTCTTTGTGGGCGCAACTGTTGCACCTTTAGCCTTTCTTGAACTTCCCTCCTTAGTTAATATGCTGCTCATTGTCTGCCATTGATCTTCCCTTTTTTCGACAGATTCTCGGTCTCCCAATATATAATTGTTGTGTATCTAATAAAATCTTGATTATGAAACAATGAGCATGTGTATGGATACACTAGAACACTTTTCTACGTCTCCTCGCTTTGTTTTTCCGGTCACTTGCTTAACTTACATTATTGTCGTTTGATTGTTTTTGTTGTGTGCATGTATGGGTGTTGCTTAGTATGTGTTATTTCTTGGGTCAAGTGGCAATGAGGATCTGGGAGTTTAAAAAGAGTGTGCATGGATATGGGATACTGTGGGTGACTTGAGAGGTCTGTATGGTTTATGGGCAGGTCTAATTTGTATGCAAACTATCACGTTGATATTCAAAATATATACTTGTTTTAAATTATTTTGAATTATCAAAAGTGTAGTTTTCTGTCATTCAAAACACTTGGTAAACAATCATAATTCATTTAACAATTAATCGTACAGGAGGTTGATATGGTAATTTTCTGTCATTCATTTCTTAATCTAGAACACTTGTGACACTTCTTATTCTGTGCATCAACTAGACAAAGCTTTTTATTTATTCAATGCTTGATAAAAAAAAATGGGTAAACAACCCTTTTTGTATGGCAATACTTTAACTTGAAACCCCTCAAATTGGAATATATGCTTATTTGAACCTTAAAATTTGTTAAAAGGCCTGGTATCAGTTGGAAGAGCAAGGGAAGATTGTGCAAAAATGGGGGAACATGTGGTAGCAGACAACGCAGAAGCCATTATCACAAGGATTGAACACAAGTCTCGCAAGATCGAGAGTTTGCTCAAACAGTCTGTACTATAACCCTATTTTTTGGAATAGATTTCAACTTTTTCCCATTTATCGAAACCCTAAATTGTTGCATTGATTGATCAGGTACAAGCCAGTAGAAGCCCTCAAGACTGCTCTGGAAGGATCTCCTCCCAAGACAAGAGATGAAAGATGCAAGGTTTGGCTCGATCTTTCTCATTTGTATATCTAGATATCCCTTCTCTTAGAATTAGTGAACGTCAAAGATCAAGAACTGGAATTGGAATTTATTGCACCCTAGTCGCTCTTTATGGCACTCATTTGGCTAAATGTTTTGAATCTTCGGATCTAATTGTTGTGTGGATTGGTTTAAATTAAATGTAAACGGACCATCATCTATGTGAGTGGTAAATTACACTATTGAATTTTGTTCCCCTATTGAAGTATGCTCAATTTTGATTTTGTCTTGGTTGTGTGACTCTCGTTTTATGTACTCCGTTTCGATGGTATGTGTGAGCTACATGATGGAAAATTGATCCTTGACTTCTGACTTGAGAAAAAAGGTTATCATTGCCCTAATTTAAACTGGGAAGTTGGAACTTTGAATCGTAACTGTGAAACGAACCAGATATATTGTAAGGGAGAATTCAATTCTCTAGATTGTACGTAAGTTGTTGAACCGCATAAATAACATGCCAATTTTTTGTTTCCAAACTGTAATCGTGGCTCTGTGTCTTTAACTGGATTCTGCATAAAGCTCCCCCTTCAAACTTGTATATGAAAGTTGTGTTTTGGCCTTATTGTTTGTAGTCTGCAAATTGGATTGTGGTGCATAGAGCACTAATGGCGATAAAAGATGTGGATTTAATGTTCTCCTCTTTGGATCCCGAGTACTATGATATTCTCATGAAGTAAGTCCCTTTCTTCTTCTCCATTCTCGATATTTCATTATTTCTTCTCACACCATGTAAACAAGGTTCACATCAAATGGTCAAAACCAAAAACCAAAATGAAGTTAAATCTGAGTTGTGTTGTTATAATTCAACAGATACTTGTATAGAGGATTGTCTACGGGCGATCGCCCCACCTGTGACCAATGCCTACGGATTCATGAAAAGCTTACACAGAAAGCTGGCCTCGGATGCATACTTCGTGCACTCAGTGATACTGTAAACACTGTTTAATTTCTACGATTACCCATGACAAGAAACACGGTTTCCTACATATAAATCATGTTATTTCTTTCTCTTTGATCTCTAATTTCACATGGAAATGCAGGTCAATAGTTTTCAAAATGGGTGTTGGAGAAATCATTGATACCTTGGGGTAGGATTGGCAAAATCAACTGGTTTGAAACAAAATCAAATGTCCATTTTTGAGTCCCAATTTTGGAGACATGGTATGCCATGATGATTCAAGGTAAATATTATGCCACCAAATGATTAGTTGGCTTCTATTGTTGATGGAATCATGGAATGTGGGGATAAAGATCCAGCCCAACAAACACAAGTTTTTCTAAAAATGGATATAAAGGATCATTATATCCGATTTCGCGATATATCCAAGTATAACCAGTTATCGAAATTATGTCGAACGAACTCTAGGAACGTTGCCTGCGTCTTCTATTCATCGTCTTCGTTCACTATTTATGAAATGAAATCTCAAAAATCATGTGTACGAAATGCAGGTGCCTGTGGTTTTTGCCATGAGCATCTCCAACAGGGACAACACCCAACCTCTCAACAGTATTTTTAAAGAATAAAAGAAAGACAAAAGAAGAAGAAAAGGACTAAAATGCCCCTATTTGCTATCTATATGTTATTTTAAAATTAATGAGCAAAATGAGCAAGTCTTAGTATCTTTTTTAATTATACTACTCGTGCATTGCAATGAAACATCATATATCTTGATTTTAATATTTAATTTTATTCTTTATCTCAGTTGATGTTATTATATGATCTTATATGATTTTGAAAAAAACGATGATGTTTTTATTTTTAATAAAATATAAATTTGAAGATATCATAAAAATTTGACAAAAATATATTGTTATTAGTATCAAATTAACTATTTAAAATTTCTTTATTTTTTGTGTAATTTTTAATTCAATTTTTTTATCATAATTTAATTTAGGTTCAATAACGAAGTAATTTATATTTGGTTTAATAATATATTTTCTTATAAAGATAATAATTAATTATTTTGTTAGAACTCAATAATTATCCTAATTATATTTTAGATTTTTTATATTTTAAAATGAGATGTTTATCCTCTATTTGATTATGTTTATCTGTAGTTAGTTACACAAATTCAAACATTGAGCTTTAATAAGTTGTACTTGTACATAATTTACTTGTATGCATAAAAAATAGTTTTTAATAGTTTTTGTCAAATGTTTTATAATATAGTATAGATAAATAGATGATATAATTTATTAATCATGTTCTATCATCTTGTATTTATATTCCTTTTATTTCAAAATAAATGTGTATAATAAACAATAACACATATTTTTTAAAATATATGATTATTATACTTTTTTAATTTAATTAAATGAGAATAAACTCTTAAAAATATAGTGAATAATGAATCTTGGATCTGGAAGGAGTGCTAATTAAATTACTTCGTTTAATTATAATACAATTAACTAACACTAATCGTCAAAACAAGTTACGGGGGATGAACAATATAATAGAATATTTAGCATTTTAATGGTATTGATAATTTGTGTTAGATATTTGATAAAATTGAACAAAAATGACATGATTCATATAATTATATAAGTAATATGATCATGAAACAAGTCATAGGTTTAGATCTATTTTGAAAATTTAAGGAGTTAAGTCTCTTTGGTTGTATTTATTAGGGACCCAAGTAGTTACTTTGTTTAGGGATCCAGACTGTCAAAAAACTACAACCATAAGGACTTAACTTGTTAACAGAAATGAAACTAGAAGGACCTATGTTGTTAAAGACACCAAACTGCAGGGACTAAAAATGTAGCTCATTCTTAAGGCTTTTTGACGGTTGGTAAATGTTTTGGTGTAGAATTATTAAGCGGCTCTTATGATATAGCGTAAAATAAAATGTAATTGTTCGCTAATAATTTACAATGAAATTAGAGTACTGAATGGTTAGCGAAGACTCATGATACAAAATCATTCAAAAGATTTTAAAATCATTAAGAGTCAGAATTTTTTTATCAAACAAGATTCATCTCTTAATGATTCAAAGACTGTCTTTAATGATTCAAAGACTATCTTTTAATAAAACTATTAAGAAAACAACCCTTTAGACTATAATTTAACAAACAAAACCCAAAGTTGTTAGAAATAATAGAGTAAAATTTCATCTTTCTTTCTTTCAATATAGTTTTTGTAGATAGCAGATAAATTAAGAAACCAAATTTAAAAAAATAAACCAAAATCTACAACTTAATTACAGCATCATCATCATTAACCAACAACTCTGACGACTCCCAATTTGTTCGAGACTCAAATTACAAAAAGAATTTAACCCTAAATTTATTTAATCCTCATTCTAATTTCGACCACCCGATTCACCATTTTCTTGATCTTGATTCTTTCCTTTCCGACCATCTTTTATTCTTGCCGGTGACGCCGCCCGCTTGCCGCCAGGGTCATTGCTCGACGCACAAGCGTCCCGAGTCTTTGACTTCAACCTTAGCCTGATCCCGAACATCTTACACAGACTGTTCCAACTGATCCCTTTAGTCTTAACGAGTTTATCGATCTCTTTTTTCATGGTAAAACATTCTTTCTCGAGCTCGGAAACTCGATCCCGCATGTCGTCAACCGCCACGATCCGCCGATCGTTTTCTCCTGCGGTCAACAGGTTGACATTCCCACTTTCCGGCAGCATCATGCTGCTGCTCAGGTGGATCTGCGAGTTGTAGTTGTCGGAGAGGTACAAGCAACCGGATACGGACGTCCGCAGCCGCAGCTGTTCGAAGAAGAGAACTTGGACTATGAACCGAAGCGGTAGCCGCTCGTTTTGAGCGGCATGAGTGCTGGCTTCTAACGACAGTTTCTGGCAGTCCATGAGCCTGCAGACTAGTTCCCGGTCTGAATCCGTCAGCCATGGATGAGCCTGCAAATTACCCAAAAAATGCATGTTGCATGGCAACATTTAACTTTCGAGGTCAAACAGATTAAATTTCCTCTCCAAAATTATATACATTCATAAACTCTTCGAGAAAATGATGCTGATTACCTTTTAGATCACAATACCTACTGCGTATAAGAAAACGTTCGGTTTGAATTTCTTTCGAGATCAGTTTCGGTTTCAACTCCGAATACTAATTGGTTTGACCTCAAAAGTCAACCGTAACTGTTTTTAGAACAGGAATAACAGACTATGTTTGGCAAACTAAACTGGTTGATAAGCTAGTTGTTGCCGATAAGATAACCGATAAAATAGTCATGTATGATAAAAAGTAATTGATAAGATTAGATAACAATGTAAAATTACCTATAAGGACGTAAAAATATAAGGGGCATAAATGGAAAGAAGCCCCTAGAGCTTATTAAAACGCTACTAGAAGTAGCGTTTTGAAAGACTAGCTTATGACGAACCAAATGGGTTTTCTCATAGCAGACCATACAACTCTGAGCTAACTGTTACCTTGAGATATATATCGATGGCGCGGTACATTCCATCATCCATTGCCCTTGCGTATTCGGGAACGGTGGCAGCCAAGGTCCGGAACTTTTCGAGCTTTAAGTTAACGTCAGAAGCCACCTCAGCAAGATAGTTGTCGACAAGATTAGCCACCATTGTCATCGGCGTAAGCGAGTGAGAATTCCCCATCAATTCATCATCATCATTGTCCACTAAACAACCCGATTCAGTAATTTCACTTCCATCCTGATCCTGATCCTGATCCCGATCCCGGTATACGACCACAAAATGATCAAGCATTCGTTGGACGCAATCGATCTCATAAAGCGTCTCGCTTGAATAACCCATATTCGGAATGAGAATATCTTCAATGGATGCTTGATCCAACTCCAACCCAATTCGTCTTTCCAAATCCCCACGACACAGAGGGCTACAATGTAAAATCATCGATGTTCGTAGCAGCCTGAGGAGGAGCTTCGTGGGAACGATCCGCTTTTGACTCGGGAGCAAGTCAACTATCTCTTCAAGAAGCGTCTTTTGATCTGAATTTGAATCGAAAGAAGAACAAAGATTGCTGTTTGGAAAGCTTGGTTGTCTGCCGAGTAAAGGAAGATGCTTTTTCGCGTAGAACATGAGAGACCCGGCTATCTGTTCTTGATCCATACTTCTTGAATCAACGGCCAAGATGAATCTCCTGTAAAGAGGTAATCTCAGCTTCGAAACATCCTCATACCACCAATCTTGGTTCGTTGAAGAGCTTTGGATTCCATTCCAGATGACAGTGGCAAAAGGGTCATTTTTCGTGCTCGAAACAGGCCAACCAAACAAATCTTTATCATACGCACAGGCTTTTAAAGCAAGAGAATTAACACATCTCGAAACTATATGAAGCTCTTCGGCATGCTGCATCACTTCATCACACGAATCGAGCGCCTTCAGGGTATCGATCCAGCTGCCAAACACTTCACCAAGGAAGGTTTCCATATGATTTATGAGATTTCCTTCTCCATACTCTTCAGTCATTTGAAGATACTCAGATGCACATCGAAGAGGAACCACATTCGTTGAGTTGACTTCTAGTTTGACCCCATAGCAGAACTTAGCAACGAGCAAAAAGGTTTTCGGCCCTCCCGGTAAATCATGAAGTTTAAGAACACAAGATTGTTTCTCATCCTCAAGCTTTATCCCTTTTTCATCATCCGAAGAATCCCCAATGAGATTTTCCAACGTTTTGCTTCTAGATAATAACGGGAACTGCGTGTTACACCAAACAACAAATTGGCGAAAAGGTGCATCAATGAAACATCTCGTGGAAGGTCAAGATTAATGGATGTAGAGTTTCAGTAGTTCATATTTAGGGTTGGGTTCCGTTGAGAACAATCTCTTTTCACCATAAGGTTTAAACAAGTGAAGGTTTATCTTGAAAACTGTAAAGATACCTTTATACTGTGTGAAAGTAACAACATTCAAACAATATAATGCAACCTTTTAATATACATTTATAAAAAGGTGATGTGAAAATTACAATCTTCACACAATATGAAGATATCTTCACTTTTTATCACCAAATTTCTCACTTGATCATGACTCTGTGTATATTTAAAACCGTTACAATAGTTATATTGTCTGGTTTTCTTTTAACCATGGTTGTCATACCTTCAATGGATATAGGCAAATTGTTCGATCACGTAACTACTAAGAATTTGATTTGTTTTTGGTCCTACAAATATTATAGTGAGTGACGCTATCGATCCTAATAAAAACAAGTAAACACGGACCTTGTGCAGATGGAATGAAACGTCTCCAATTTCAATGGTAACATCGCTTGGAAGGCCAGACGAGCAAATCCTGCAAGATTTAGTTGTAAATCCATGTTGGTTCAACATCATTTAGTAAGTAAACATCTAAAAGTACTTCTAGATCATATAAACATGAAGAATTGCATATCTTTACCTTCTTAACACACACAAAACTCCATTGATCTAAGAAGTACGTGATATGTAGTTATATCATTATGCCACATTCGATGAGAATGTAAGGATTACAACGAATAATACGAGCAGGAATTCATGAAAATATTCCGTTATGCATAGAAAGGTTCCTTTCTGCTCAATGAAATTTTAAGTTGCTTAAACATATACACATTCTATGGTTGAGCTACAATGTAGATCAATCCCAGAAATTTTGACTTTGCAGAGTCAAACCTGGTAGTTTTCAATGGAACTCGATATGAAATTTGTTACGAATTTTAACACCGGTTTTGTTCTCACCCATAGCGATTCTTTATATAGTTTCATGTGTGTTGTCAGAGATTTCTTGAAAATGTGAGAATTCCATATCAATTTTGATGCCAATAAGCACTTGTTTTGACTCTTGGAATCCACATTGTAACTCCAGTTTTGAAATGGAAGCAGTAACATCTTCCTCTATGAAATTTTCAGAAAGTTCAGTCATAACAATAGATTTCCCAGTTGTTCTAATTTACTGCATAATAATTTCTCATACAAATTATTGCCAAATTAAACCCACATCCAAAAACATCAAGAACAGTGCTGAAACATTCAATCCGAGCTCATACATGTCGATATCACGAATTTAAAACCAAAACCATCCGAGCAAATTAATAAAATTAACACAATTCAAATGCAAATGTGGGTATCGAATCAGACCCATGAGCAATCTACATTAAGCCATCAAAAACCCCAGAAAAAGAGAATCGAAAATTCGCAATTGGGGACGACAAAAAAACTCGAGAAATCGAGGAAAACCAATTACGGGTGTCAATCAAAACGATAGACGAGACATACCCACATAACAATTTTCACGAAACAATCAGAATTCGCAGTGAAACTCGTTAAATCTACACAAGTAACGTAAAAACAACTAACCAGGTTTTCGAATCCTCGTCGAGATGAAAAACTTCCGATTTAGATCCTAACTTCATGCATGACATCGCTATGTATGTATGTATGTATGTATGTACGGTTCGAGTTGTTCAGTTATGGAAAGCAATGCGAATGGAAGCGTATATATGCATAAAGATGAATGAATCGAGTAAAGAAAACACAGTCAGAGTGTGTGATACAGATGATGATAAGAATGGGGGGCAAAGGGCAAAGGTAATGAGTAAACACGCACTCTCTTTCTCCGTCTTGTGGGTGTGGAGGGAGAGATGGTCCCTAGTCTACAGGGTGAAATAATCCAGGGGGATAGAAGAATCTGTTCTTGCTGTTGCAGCACTCTTTTTCCGGAGTAAAAGTCCCTCAACTATTATCAACTACCAAATTTAGTCCCTTAAGAGTTCTATTTTGCAATTTTAGTCATAAATATTTGATTCATTGAGGGGCTGTTTACCGATCTCTAATCAGATAAGTATTTATCAGGATTAATCAAGACTCTCACTTACTTTATTTGGTAACATTTCCGACCATCAAAATGAATTATTGGTAAGTATTTGTGACTTGGTAAGTACTAACCGGATAAGAGTTATCTTCCTCACTTTCCGAGTAAGATTCTCGGTCATTGTTATCCTTATTCATGATAAGATTTTCGATTATTGTCATGCTCACTCAATAAGTTTTTGACAAACCAACCTCTAGAAACATCTAGAAAGATAGTTACCGTGCATATCACTGGAAAGTTTGTTTGAAATTTTCTCTTCGTATTAGAAACACTGTTGAAAATGAATGTAATATCTGGGAAATTTGAGTATTAACCTTTGCTTCTTTATTTTGAATAAGTTATAGTGAAACAAGTTGGATATGTTCTAACAAAGTTTTTGACTTCTGAATTTGGAGTGTCCTACTTCCATACAATTGACACGAGACAATTCTCGGTTCAGTATTCCACTTTAGCTAATAAATCATCTGTGTTAGAGACTATGATACAATGCAATATATTATTTTTTTAAAACAATTCAATAAAATAAAATAAAATAAAATAATCTATATTATATTATAAAGCATTTGACAAAAACTTTTAACTATTTTTTATGCATTAAGTACTTTTTATTGATACATATTACTTAAGATTCAATATTACAAGTGATTTTGCGTAAGTACAACTTATTAAAGCTTCATTTTTAAATTTGTGTAACTAACTATAGATAAACATCTATTTTAAATACATAAAATCTAAAATATAATTAAGATAATCATTGAATTTCAACTGAATTTTTAATTATTATCTTTAATAAAAATTATATTATTAAATAAAAAATAAATTATTTTGTTATTAAACCTAAATTAAATTATAACAAAAAATTGAACTAAAAAAGTTACAAAAAAACGAGAACTATTAAATAGTTAATTTAATACTAACATCGATTTTATTTATTTTTTAATTTTTTATGTTATCTTTAAATTTATATTTCATTCAAAAATAAAAACATTATTGCTTTCTCAAAACCATATAAAATTGTATTATATCGATAGAGACAAATAATAAAAACCAAACATTAAAATGAAGATTTATCTCGCTACATTGCACGAATACCCTTCTAGTAAACTTCAAAACATTTAGAAAAACTAATAATCAAGTCATTATGTCGATAGAGTAACTTCATGAAAAACATGGATATAGAAACTTATAAATTTTTCATTAAATCAATATAATATCCTTTTAACAGATTAAATACACCAGTTAATGTTACTATCTCTTGTCATAATACATTTATGACTGGTTTAATGACATTAATTATTTTTTAAAATATTTTTTTTAATAAATGTAACGGTAAAGTATAAAATACAAATCTTTTAGGCTTATATTTTAGTTTTACTTCAATTAAGATTGATCAAATGGTTGAATTTTTTTTCTTATCATTCTCATTGGAACTTAACATTACTTTTATGGACTTTTCATGGTCCACAACAATGTTATAATTTATTGTTAATATTGTTTTATTTTAAAAAAGAATAATAATTCAATGCAAAAATAAAAATCTGTTTATAAATAAACTAGAATGGTATTCGCACAATGCAACAAGATAATCTCGATTTTAATGTTTCGTTTTATATTATCTCTGCCGATATTATAATATGATTTTATATGGTATTAAAAAGCGATAAATTTTTATTTTTAAATAAAATATAAATTTGAACGTATAATAAATTTTTGAAAAAAATATATCGATCATAGTGTCAAATTAAACATTAAAAAGTTTTTTTTTTTGTAATTTTTTCAATTCAATTTTTTAGTATAATTTAATTTAAATAATTAAATGAAATCATTTATTTTTAGTTTATAATAATATAGTTTTTTTTATAAAGATAATAATTAGTATTTTGTTAGAATTCAATAATTATTCTAAATATATTTTAGATTTTTTATTTAAAATGAGATACATATCCAATATTTGGTTATGTTTATCTACAGATAGTTGTACGAATTAAAAAATAAAGCTTTAACAAATTATACATATGCATAATTTACTTGTAATCTTGAATTTTAAGTAATATGCTTCAATAAACAGTACTTAATGCCTAAAAATAGTTTTTAATAATTTTTATCAAATATTTTATAATATAATATAGATTAAGTAAAATAATCGATATATTTATTAGAAACTACAAAACACCATCATTAAATTTACTATTTTTAAAATAATGTGGGTGGTAAAAAGTACAATAATTTAACCTGGTTTTTTTTACCCGGTTACAGTTTTAGAAATTAACTTTTATGCAAATTTCTTTATCGGTAACCGGGTTCAAGACGTCATACGTTGTCGGGGCATGTGGGGGGACCAAACAAGCCATTATGCAAAAAGGGAGGGTTTTCTTAATTATTATTTCAGGACCTCGAGTCTCACAATTTGCAATTTCAGTCCTCGCAATTTTTCATTTTGGTGATTATTTAATTACTAGCCTATGTCACTAACACCTACATGTTTTATTGTGTATAGTATTAGATAATCATAGAACCACAAAGTCTTTGAGTTGGTATTCCAAATGGAACAAGTGTTGTTGATTAGTTGAATTTTCACATAATAATTTTAATATTTTTGTCTTTTTTTTTTAAAGTAAATGTATGATTTGTATATATATTTCTTTTTATATCAGATGAGAATTACTGTATTTGTTTGACTTGATTAACAGTTATAATATTTATAACTTGTGTTTATTAGAAAAACAAAAACTCAGTTTTAACCAATTATTCCGTCTTATAACATATATTTGCTTTCATCATATCTAAGCGAATAAAGCAGTATATGAAAATGGGATATGTAATTGTTGTCCTTATCCACATAAAAAAAATACACGGATATGATATTGTTGTATACGTTGACAATTCAATGGGCCCACGACACACTAAAGTCTTAAATAGCATTTAAAATTAATATTTAATATGTTTCCTAAGTTTTTATTAATTAACCTTGATATCCAACTTGTTATGCGAGCCGACTAGTCACATGTCGACCACCTGTTTTGTGGGTAGCTTAGAGTCACCGCATTTGAATCTTCTGGTCACAAGGAGATTTTTGTTCCTCTTTAAATTTGAACTTAAGACCTCTAGATACTTTTGACCTTTGGTATCAATTATATTCCATTATAAAATAAATAATAATACATTTATAAAAATATTATCTTTTCTTTCATTTCTGTATGAGAAATTTATTTTATTACTCACTCTTCAAAACAGCAGATAATTTTTTTTTCTTTTTTTTACTTCCCAAATAAAATGTACGGATTTGGTTATGAATATTATTAATCTGTTCGATTTGAAAAATGAAGATGGACGGTTCGATTTTTGGTTTTAATTGAAACCGGACCAAACCATCTATATCATGTTGGGTCGGTCCAGCCCATAAATTACTCAGCCCAACAAAAGCAATTTAATAGGTCCAATCTGGCCCATTACTGGCATCACTCCAATTGAAACCGGACCAAATCATCTATATCATGTTGGGTCGATCCAGCCCATAAATTAATCAGCCCAACAAAAGCAATTTAATGGGTCCAACCCGGCCCATTGCATAACTCCAACTGTCCAACAACATAAGCATCATCATGTTCAAACGACTTGGGTCAATTCTGCTGTCACTGAGAGAGAAAAACGAAGGTAAACATGGAGGTTTTTGAAGCCAGATCTCGTTCAACCCTAATTTTATCACTCCTCGTCTTTTTCTCCCTAAGTTTCCGATCGTCTTCTTCGCTATCATCATCATCATCGGAGCTTCAGATCCTTAGCGCCGAACGCAGAGTAAGATATCCTATAATAACTCATCATTTCTGCAACAAATTTCACTTGTTTTATTTTCTTTGTGTGGGTGATATCTGATTGGAAATTTGATCGTTTTTCCTAACCGGTCGCTGGTGCATTCTCGAAACGATCGAATTCTTAAAACGAGTTGGTAATTGACGAGGGGACTGAGATTTGGACTGGTTGTTGTGTTAGATAGAATGAATTATGATGTTTTGTTTATGAATTGGTTATTTGTTTTTATTATTGTATATGACGTTAATAATGCTGATTGTTGTTGGTGCAGATTGATTTAGCTTCACACATTATTAGGGTCGTCTTGAGTTTGAAGGTACTTTTCTATAACTAGAATCTATCGCCTGAACGTATAAATGCTTTTAAATGACATTTTAGGACAAAACAAAGAAAGCTGGTCTCAGTATCAACTAGATATTTACACATTGAGTTTTGTTGCGTCTGTACTATGGTTATTGTGAGATCAAAACCCCCTGCTTTTGTTTCCTTTTTCTTTCTGGGGGGTCGGTCTGGATAGTCCTTTTAGTCGAACTAGCCAATTTATAAGGTTAGGTTTGTTTGCTGTTTTTCCTTTCACAAAAAGTGTTGTGATCAAGATTCAGTGGTAGCGACTTCTTAGTATATTTATTATAGCTCTACATCTATATGCTGATAAGCATGTGACTATTTGGCACACCCAAGTTGCTGCCATACCAAAACAAACCATGCGAGCCTAGTATATCCCACCAAAGATGCTGCCTTGATTGCTTATATTCAGACATCTCCTTTGGTTGATTCCCACTTCACTGGTGATACCAATTAACCTAGTTTATGGGGAATGATTGGTTACATGTCAAATTTTCTTACAAGCCAGTAGCTGGTGGTCAGCAAATATATAGTTTTGAGCTTACAGCTGTCTAGATATCTGCTACTCATTGGTTTAGCTGACAATAAACCTAGAACTATATTGTAGCATATGTTTTTTATGCTGGACTATTTCAGGTACAAAATGATGGGGAATTCCCTGCTTCAAATGTTCTTCTTGCATTTCCACCGCCACAAGCCAAGCATCTATCACTTATCCAGGCTGCTGAACTTACTGGAAAAAAGAAGAAGAAATCTCTACAGCCACTCGATGTGAAGCCAAGTGATCATGCTGATGGGCCAAATGGAGCCAAATTTTTCTCTATTTCTTTGAGGAATCCATTGAGCACTGGTGGATCTGTCTCAATAGAAGTATCATATATACTGACCCAATCCCTGGAACCTTTTCCTGTAGAGATAAGTCAGTCAGAACCCCAATTAGTCTTATACCGTGATGGTGCTTTAATATTGTCCCCATATACAATTAAACAGCAGACAACAGTTATTAGGACACCGACTACCAAAGTAGAATCATTTACAAGAGTGGAACCAACCACCCAAATGCGTACTGAACTGAAGTATGGGCCTTATCAGGACCAGCCTCCTTTTTCATATGCTCCCATACTTGTTCATTTTGAGAATAACAATCCATTTGCTGTCGTTGAGGAACTTGTACGAGAAATTGAAATTTCTCACTGGGGCTACCTTCAAATTACAGAGCATTACAAGTTGGTGCATAATGGAGCCAGACACAAAGGTGGATTCTCAAGGTCAGGTCACAGTTAATTACATATGATATATGAGGCCATGCTTGTGCAACACAATGTTAGTTCAGTTTACCCAACTCCCTGTTTTCTTTTGCACTATTCTCAACTCTCCCCTTGCACTACTTCCTTCAGTTTCTTGTTGCTTGCCGGTGTTACCTGTAGGTTGTGATGTGCCTTGAGATGGCTGTCTTGCCCCACCTCCCCGGCGCTAGGTGGGCAATCCGCTCTTAGGTCGTTGGACGGTTTTTATTGAAGCAAATAAAAATGAATAAGTGAAAATAAATATAATAAAATAATAGAGTTGAGTATTTTGATATAAAAAATCGCATTTTTCTTGGTTTTATGTCCATCCCTGGTTATTTTCTTTTGATCTTACAGTAATTAAGGGTTGCTACCTCATTATATTTCTTACAAGTGAAATCCATTGTAGCGCATTCATCCCTGGACGTCTCTTTTAACTATAGTTACAGATTTGTTTAGTATCCTTTTATGTCTGCACTAATATGCATGCTATTCATATTCCATGATATATGAATTAAGATCCAAATTTATGTCTTTGAAAATTGTTATGGTTGTTACTTTAGTTTGTACATAGGATGATGATGATGTTAGTCTACTTGCACCTGTATTTTCTTGTTTTGTTTCATTTTATACTTGCCTTTTTGTCGTCACTGAGATATCTGAATATGAATGTACAATGTGGTCATTGATATTCATCTTTGTTAAAAGGAAGAGATTATTTTATTTTCCCTCCTACCGTCTCAGGCTGATTCGTGTTCTTGGTTGATTATGTTAGACGCTGTTTACTTTTTTCCTCCGTTGATTGGTGTTTGACCTTTTTCACTCTTAATTTTGCAGGGTTGAATATCAATCCAGACCATCTATCAGTGGCGTTTCTTCATTCAAGCATCTTCTTGCAAAATTACCCCCTAGGGTTCACTCTGTCTACTACCGTGATAACATAGGCAATATTTCAACATCACATTTACGGACAAGTTACAGTAAGGTAACTCGGTTTATCTTATTTTGATCATGGTGGAAAGAGATTGTGTGGTTTTTTCATGGTTCCTTCAGAAGATTGATTCTGACATTTTGATTTTTCATCTATATCATTGTCTTCATGATGTTTGCTGCAAACTAAGATGGTTATCATTCTGTACACTTTTTCTTTAGTTTTTCTGTGTGTATTATGGGTTTCATCTTCATTTTTCCTCATATCATATGAACGGAATCCACTATCATGCCTTATGTCTTCTTACGTCATATAAAATAGGACTAAGAAATGAAAATGTTGATTGGTCTAAGAAGTTGTATCTAAGACGGCTGAAATGAAGTTTATAGGAACTTGTACATAAAACTGAAGGTGGGGAGGGGGGGAATGCAAAAATAGAAAAGTTAATTTACCTGATTTCTCTATGTTTGATCGGTCTTAATGGGTACAGGGGTCGAGACAATCATTTTGCTATTCTCTACTATCAAGGTTCATGTTCACGCTGATATTGGTCACCATCGTCCTTCACTACCTCTTTCTTTTAGATTGTTATTTTCATGTGATGCTCATATTTTGACAAACATAACTTGTTTGCCATGGTGCGCCTAGAAGGCCTACATAAACGCACTTCAAATATCCTCATCTCTGATCATGTATCATCATGCAACTCCTTATCTGATCCATCTTTTAACTCTTAGTAAAAACACAAACAATCAAAGTGGTGGGAGATTAACTATACTATATATGAAAACGGGAATGGCATATGCCTGTTGGCAAATTTTCTTCAAATAGAAGGATAAACAAGAGATCATCATCTGTTGCACAGGGACGCCTAGAATTCCCCAATGTGTACATAGGAAATAGATTTAAAAGCCATAAAGATGTTGCATCATTTCCTGTTGTTGGTACTAAGGGTGCGTTTGGTACACTGGATGGGACAGGACAGAACAGGACAGAGATCCCTGTCCCATGTTTGGCATGACTTTTATGTGGAACAGACAGGAACATAGTGAAACATGCCTATTCTACCCCACCCCATTGATCAGGGTGGAACAAGGTGGAACAAACTTATATTTTACCAATATAACCTCAAAATAAAACTTAATTCTCTTCTAAAATATCAAATAGGTCTCTTTTTTACAATTTATTCATTCTTTAAATTTTATTTATTGTATTTTATGTTTCTTAAACTTTCATTTTACTGTCCTCAAAATATTATTTTTATACGGTTTTTATATTTTTATTAATTTATGTAATTTATTATATATNTATGTTTCTTAAACTTTCATTTTACTGTCCTCAAAATATTATTTTTATACGGTTTTTATATTTTTATTAATTTATGTAATTTATTATATATTAGTAATAAAAATAATGTAGAAAAGAGATAAAAATAAAAATTGGAAGCTACATAAACTTTTTATTTGGTGTCATTTTAATTGTTTTGACGAAAACTTCAAATGATATATTTTGTTATAAAAATTAATTATTCTATTATAATTTAATAAATTACATAAATTAATTAAAATAAACAACTCATCAGGGGTAAATTGGTCATTTTACTTGTTCTGTTCTGTCCAATTTTATCTTACCAAACGTTGAACAGTTGTTCTATCCTGTCCTATCTTGTCTGGACACCAAACACACTCTAAGTGACCTCTGACAGCATTGTTCATGTTTGAGGTTGGTATTCTAAGTTCTAGTGGCATGTCCAGGATGTCAACTTGATGCTGTAGCTAAATGCATCATGTCACTCCAAATGGTTTTCCTTGGGAACATAATCTTAGCTCTTCTATATTGTTACTTTCAATCCAATAGCTGATCAACTGTCTCATATTCCCAGTTTCCGTAAAAGCATGCTCGTATTCCCATTTGATGCCAGCAACATTGATTATCCATATAGACGTGACATTTTAATTTTCATGCATGCAGTCTGAACTGGAAATAGAGCCACGATATCCTTTATTGGGAGGTTGGAAAGCAACTTTTGTCATTGGATATGTGTTGCCACTTCAAGACTTCCTTTTTGAGTCAGATGATGGTAAGCGCTATCTGAACTTCAGTTTTGGATGTCCTATTGCTGAAACGGTGGTAAACAAAATAACAAACAAGGTACATGATCATGATAATTGAATCTTTTTAAAAAAAAATTGGATGCTTGTCCATTGTTCATTTGTTCTTCACTGCTTTTGTTAACAAGTACAAAGCTTTTTCAGGTTGTGCTGCCTGAGGGATCAAAGAACCCATTTGCCGTGGTCCCTTTTTCTGTGGAACGCCATGCAGAGGTAACATCTATTTGTTCTATAGATGAAAGGTCATTAATTGGAAAAAAAATTAATTGCCATAACATGATCATTATTTGTGTTCCTTTTGCTTCATGTTGTAGTTCGATACATCTTGATCTTGCTATGCTATTTTGATCAATTAGCTGTATGATAAATATATATTGCGTGACGTCTCTATGTTAAGTGAACATCTCCATTATTTAGATGAAGATTGCAAATGTTACTTCTGGTGGGTAAAGCATCATTTGTCATTTGCACCTGGTAGTTATTACTGCTTTGGCTATGTGCTTATGAAATCGAGTGACTTTACATCATTTGTACTTTTTTTAATGCAATACTGTAAACTGAAGCCCCTTTCTTGATCTCCACAGACAAGCTATTCCTACCTTGATATTGTCGGAAGACCGGTGGTGGTTTTGGAGAAGGAAAATGTAGTTCCTGAGCACAACTCACATTTCCAGGTGAAACTACTTGCATATTAACCTTTTCTTTCATTTTAACACCTTTACCTTGGTTGGTTCCTGTTGAGACAAGGGGAATCCCATATTGAAAGGTCGGACTTTATTGCAACTTTTTTTGGACAATTTAATCCACCATGACTCTTGCATTAGGAAATATAATTTAGGTTTGGATAACTGAACTCGCAGGAAAAATGTTGGAAGAAGCCACAGCATGTGCGTGTTGTATAATCTAGGAGTTTATAGTAGAATTAGTGGTTATAACTTCTGTGAAAGGATCTTGGCGTATAATATATACATGTAATAGGGGTTGAAGATAATTAAAAAGGAGCAGGTTGATAGAAAATAAAAGCCATTCCAGAAGAGGGACATCCTAAGTTGATATCATTTAGATGATTCAATTTACTTCCCTTGCACAGAGCTTTTAGTTATAAAGTGTAGTTGATTATATAAGATTTATTCTAGAAATAAAGATAAGGAGTGTCACAGTTAGTTAGGGCTGAAGGTGCAGGTGCAGGTGCAGCCATACAAAAGAGCAGGATTCAGTTGGTTGAGATTAAGTAGAATTTAACAGCAGAAATTCGATTGTCTTATTTTGCATGGAACTTTCCTGAAAGAGGAACTTATTGTTTAACTGTCAAGAAATATTGAAAAGCCAAAATAGGTGAGAAATGTATCATAAAGATGGGAACTCTTTTTATTGTGGCGCAGTAGTTCAGGATTTTTTTTTGCATATTTATAGTGGACTTTGGATGGAGCTTATTACACGGAATCCCATCTTTTAGAGAATCCAAATAGATTGTAAACGAGACATAAGGAAGTAAACACGATAGAGAATGAGCGATATATGAAATCTCGATCCAAAGAATGCCAACCATGATGTTGTAAAAGGCTGTGATGTAGTTCTCCATGTGCATTAACCATGGTTTTGTTCTTTTTGCAGGTTTACTATGACTTCCACCTGATGTTCATGCTTGCAGAGCCATTGATGCTGACATCTGTATTTTTCTTTTTGTTTGTTGCGGCCGTGGCCTACCTTCACATGGACATTTCGATAAGAAAATGAAGAACATTGCAGGCCGGTGCAGACAGATTAGTTTCAGGTACAACGCTTCGTTAAACCAATCTCAATATGAACATGGCCGGATAAATTAGAGTATATGTAAAATTGACCCATACGCTTGAGGGAACCATCACCGTGAATGTGTTATATGAGATTGTAAAGTTTCCTTAAACTAGGTGAGGAATGGGGACATTTAGACCAGTCTCTGATCAAAGAATACATTTTTTTAACTGCTTTGATTATGGAAGTGATCTGCTTCTTTACTGTCTATTTGTCTGCTGGTTTTCACCTTTAAGACCTGGACTGGATGCATAATCATTTTGAAATGGGGATGTTTGTTTTTTTGCCAAGATCAGGTAAGATTCTTGGTCCTTGCCATATTGATTCGGTAAAGTAATGTGACTTGGTAAGTGCTTACCCAGATAAGCGTTTGGTAAACGGACCCTTACTGATTATAACAAGTGTCAATTAATGTTTTAATCTATATCTTATTATTTATAAAAAAAACGTGTTAGTATTATTTGTATATTGTAATAACAAAACATAGGTGTCACAAAACGAGGCTCTAATTTTTATGTTATACATTTTCGTAATATTAATGAAGTCGTGATTTATTTTCGACAACAAAATTGAAATTACAAAAAAACTAGGATACAAATTTTGACAAAATAAATGTAAAATCTCTTTTACATATTTAAAAACCCAATATACTCTCAAAAATAATTTGTATAAAACTCTGTAAATTGGTTTTGATTTTCTTTGACCGTAAATATTTATCACGTCTTTTTCATATTTTTATGAATATAAACGTCAAAATCTATTAAACAATACACTACTTGATAACATCGTTTAAAAAACGATAAATTTCAAATATCGTTAAGTCAAAACTTGATGTCGTACTGATCATATTGACATGGAGTTTGATTTATGACGTCATATTTTTCAAAAATTGTATAATTTAAAAAAGAAAATGGTAAGGATATGGCAATCTAAAAAAGGTGAAAGAACTGATGTGATTGTTAGCAAATGTCTTGTTTTTTTGGGGTGTATGGTTGTGGCTAGGTTGGCCAGCATGGGCTCATATTCATTAGAACCATGGTCCACACTTCTTGACATTTTGCACCATCAATTATTAGAGTTCAATGAACCATGGTCCAGTCCTTGGTTGGGTTAGGTGCACCTCACCCTCACTCTCACTCTCACTCTCACTCTCACTCTCACTCTCACTCTCAACCCTACCAACTTTTGTTGGTATCTTACCAATTTCTTTCCCCTCAAGTGATCACTTTATACAATAATGATATATGTTGCTGTAAGTTTCAGCTAACAATTACTTATACATACATATATACAAAAGAAAACAGCGATCAAATGCAAAACATCTAATTTCTACAAACCATGTAAACCATCCTCATTCGTTGATTTCATTGTTTAATTTTATAAAAAAATTTCATGAAATTATTTAATCTTGTAAAATTGTTTCATATAATACTTTTTTTTGATTATTTTGTTTCATATATAGTTATGAAATTATTTCATATAATACTTAATGAAATTTCAATGGAATTGTTTCATGTATTTCTCTAAAATTAAAATAATTAAGATGATAATATCCATGATTAACACTCTCCACAATAAAAATGATTAATCAACATCTCATAATTACAAAAAAAATGAACAAAATGAAAAATTATGATTGTTTAAACAATAAAAACGGTTTGTACAAATAACGTGGTTTGCAAAGTTAACCTCTCTCTCTCTCTCTCTCTCTCTCTCTCTCTCTATATATATATATATATATATAGTCGGAGATTGAAACCAAAATACTTTTATTTTACAAAAACACAAAAATATATTTATCATACATAATAATACATGTGAGGAACATTGGAGTATGCGGACGAATAGTTCCGCGACCAAAACATATGAAATATAATCAAAATTGAAGATAAGTAAATTATAAAAAAAAACCCGATCATTCTATTTTCATTAAATTGACATTTATATTCGTTTTTTAGTGTTTCCATATTTTCAAACGTTTGACGGGTAAGTGTTTACTGGTAAAATTCAAATACTATCACTTACTTTACTGAATAAAATTTTAATCTATCAAAACGGCATTGTATGCAACAATTTACCCGGTAAACGCTAATCGGGCAAGAGATGTCACCCTCGCTTACCGAGTAAGAGTCGTCGCCCTCATTTACTAGGTAAGGAGTTGTTTGTTTACCTCTTAATAGTTCCATTAAGAGACAACCTCTGAATTGTTAAGATGTGAATCTTATTTGGCAAAAAAAAATATGCGTCTTAATGGTTCTAAAATCCTCTGAATGATTTTGTATCATGGGACACCCTTAACCATTCAGCACCCTAATCTCATTGCAAATAATTACCAAACAATTATATTTCATTTTACACTATATCAAGAGTCTCTCTTAATCATTCTGGCCACTTAATCATTTTGTACCAAACCATTCAACAACTGTCAAACATCCCCTAAGATTCTTAGCCTTGTCTTCATTCTTACAAAAAGGGTAAGTATCTAGGTTCTTGTTATATTCATCTGGTAGAGTAATATGATTTGTTAAGCGTTTACCAAATAAACAGTTGATAAATAACCCCTTATTCTTAAAAGTGAACACTTGTTTTCAGACTAAATTAAAATAGAAAAAATAAATTGCTTCATATGTTCCAATATAAATTATCTACTCTCAAATAAAGTAAAGAGTGGAATAAGAAAATTGACACTTATTTAAAAATAAAAATAAAAATAAAAATATAAAAGAAGTAAATGTATAATTTATAATTATATTTGTTTGTAGTTGTCTTGTGAAGAGTAAAGTCTAGGAATCCCATGATATTTGACTTTGTATGAAATTACAAAAATGACCATGAGACACACAACACATGCATTTAATTATCTTTAAAAGTAACGTTGACCAAGGCCCATGGGGTGAGGAGCGAGGGGCTTAAATTCATTAACACCAAACACATAGGCGATGCCGCCGTGCACGGCCATCGGTAACGCCTTCATCGGCGGCGGAACCATCACGTGACCACCATCAATACCCACTTCATACATACATAAAAAGGACATCTCCCATGTTTTTCTTTTCTTCTTTAAATAACAAATGCTTCAAACATAATCCTTTTTTACAATCCTAAAAATAAATCAAAAACCAAACTCAATAAATAGAAGAAAAAAAAATACTATTATATATATATATATATATCGCTCGGTCTCATATGATCTAAAGTTTTTTTTTCTCTCTCTCTCTTTGTATATATATAGACTTGTGATTATGTGAGACAAGACTGTTTTAGTAAGACATATTAAACGAATCATAATTTAAAAGCATTTTTATAATAACTTGTGCATCAAATATCATACAATGTTTTGGTTATTAATCAATTAAAAAAATGTAGTAATAAAATTAAATATTAATTATTGTCCAAGTGTTTACCAAATTTTTGGTTTGGTTAGGTGAAATTGGTATGTTGTTGTGATGGGGATTTGTTATCTATTCCAAGTGTGTATATGTTTGTGTCATCTCTCTCTCTCATAGATATATATATATATATATATATATATATAAATAATATGTAGGAAATTATACCAAAATAAAAGTTAAAAACTTTGGGTTGTGCTCAACAAGTATGTCATATATGGTTATTGTTTAGTGAAGTTATAAACTAACTTAAAAGTGGCCGTATCAACTCATTTAACTAATATTAGTAAAAAATCGATATATTATACTTTATTTTTTAAATAAGAATGTTAGATTCATATAAAAATTGATAAGTAAATTAAACCAGATATATTCACTAAATTGTCTTAAAAACAAGGTCCTAAACTCCATACATTTTTGTAAATATTTAAAGATACAAATATTGTTTCCAATAAAATTTGTAAATTAACAAAAAAAAAAATTCTTGAATAGCATAATTATTTGTAACAGTTCATCTCATATGGAGTAAACTCCTTATAAATCCCAAGTAGTGGACTACCAGTAAATTTCACGATAATTTTAAGTTGGATTCGAAGTTATTGGGTTAGTCCGTTGTTTTGGGCTTTGGGGGTGTTACAAATGGTATCAAAACCGATCCTTGCACCATTGACATGGTGGGGTAATCAGTGTATGCCAAGTCGTTGAGAGTGGGTGTTTGTAATATCATAAACGAATCCCATATTGTCGATGACAAGGGGGGAAGATTATGGGCAGACCTGACGAGGATGTCAGGAGTTTAAGTGGGAGAGTTTATAACAACTCGTCTCACATGGATAAAAAGTGAAAATTGTTACCTTTTTACAAGTCTTAAATAATAAGTTACCAATAAATTTCACCATAGTTTTAAGTTAAATTTGAAGTTACGGATCAATCTGTTACTTTGGGGATGTGTGCGTTGGATTTTTACATTATTATAATAAAAAAAATACCAAATTAATCACAAAATTGGGTCAAAAATATTAATTTATTAAAAAATGAATTATTGGACAATCATTTTGTTTACGTATTTAAGGTTAAGCGGCAGCCGCGTAATTTTGGATTTTCTTTTGATGTCGCACTCTTGTATTTACTTGATTCGTATTATTTTTTAAATAAATGCAATAATTATTATAATTTGTTTTAAAATTGCGAATAACATATTTTAAATAATATTTTATTACTGATAAAATATATCAAACGTTTTTATTAAATTAATATAACTCCAAATTAAAACATGAAGATGATCACAATGTGTGTGTACGTGTTCGTTATTTTATGGAACAAACATTTTCATTATGTGTGGATCCATCTTTAATTAAATTAAAGAAACATATTTTAATTTTATAAATAATATTGTTTTTTAAATATTAAACTTTATTATTAAATACGTTTTTATTGTAGGTAATAAATGAAGCTTTCAAAAATACGATACCAAAAATAGAAAATTATAACAAAATACACTTGTTTTAGTACAATTTGTTCTTGGATGTTTTGTTATAAGTAATTACTTTATCCAGACAATTCGATGTTAAACATTCATAGAAGTGTGCAGATCATCATTTGATTCAACTAAAACTGTCCGACCATAATTTGATATATAATTGTAACAGAATCAGATCGAATCCAAATTTCAACATCCAAATTAGATCAGTTGATTTTGAATGATTCAATAAAACCAAACCAATCCAGTCCAGTGACCATCTATTTATCGTCAGCTACCATCCAATTATTCATCCAACTACTATCCGTTTAGTAAGTATATAATTATTAACATTTTACAGTATTGTTTCCGGTTGATATTTATACGTATCAATTTATCATAAATTAACAAAATGCATGAATATTTGGTTGAAGTAGTTAATTAATTGGCTAAAATTTGTATCAAAATATTAGATGGATTTAATTCAACTGATAAACCGATAATAATATCCAATTGATGAAACCGATCAAATCCAATCATTCATTTTAGATGAGATTGATCAGATGATAAATATCAATTGGATTGGGTCGTATGACAAAATCCAACATCTATTAGATGATTGAATCAGATCAGATCCATATAAATCCATTGGATTTCAACCTCTATGAACACCTCGAAACTCATCTTCAAAAATTACGTTCAAAACACCTTTTTTATATATTTATTCACAGTCCATATTTCTATAAAATCATAGAAAATATATAAAAACATATACATATATATCATGCATGCATGAAATTCATATGATATTGATACAATAACCATGGTTAACTAAATAGCGAGAAAAGTGGGGGAAGGCGGTGTTAGTCAATAAGTTGGCGCAAGAGTCGGGTCTGAGACATGACTCCACCCCTTACCATAATTATATATATAATACAAAAAATTATATATACGCAAAACATATATAATATATATATATATATACATACAACAAATGCAATTCAATCAATTGAGATTTTTATAGCTTTAACAAAAGTTCATTTATTATGATTTGAATATTTATGGAAGATTACTAGGGTTCATTAACTATGATCAATACTTTATATTAGGAAACAGTCAAATTTTTTATGAAATCACATTTATCAAATTAAATGGACGGTTGAGATTAAATTGTATTGGTTGTACAAATATAAAAGGTTACATAATAACTTACCTCTCTCTCTCTCTCTCTATATATATATATATATATATATATATATATATATATTGAAAAGTTTAAACGATAACACCTTTATTTTACGAGAACGCAAAAACCTTTTTACTATAGACAATCATATGTGATACTATAATTCCATCGCATATGATACACATGTGATACTAAATTAATGACGCAGACGATTTTTGATACTATCTTAGTTGCAGACCAAGTCGCTCTTACACCACTAAGCCCCTCACAAGTATTATCACATATGATAAGAGTGTTGTTGGTATGATCCTATAATCCATCAAGACCATCACATGTGATGCTAAATCATAGACGCAAACAACTGCCTAAGACGTTGAACACGTCTTCCGCACATCACAAGGTTCCCTCACGCGTATTATCACATATGATAAGAGTGTTCTCGTTTTAACACCTCTCTCTCTCTCTCTCTCTCTCTCTATATATATATATATATATATATTCAAAGTCAATTTCACCCAAATCTCGCTTCTAGCGTGATCTCTCTTTTTTTTTCAATTTTGTTATTCTTCATTAAATTCCCTGTTTTTCCACTCTTCCTAATTAATTAATACTTAAAAACCAATATTTAATTCGTTTTGATAAGGACCCACGTATGTCCACACGCCAAACCTATCCCGTGGATCCAAACCCAACCAACTACAACCCAAGTCAACATTCACTAAATATAATTACAATTAACTCATCTTTTTTATAATTTAAACATAATTACCAATTAATCTTGCTTTTCATTTGGATTTCAATTGTTTCATCAACACCTTCTAAATCGAGTATTTATGTATGATTAAACCGCTAGTAAAATTTATAGATCGGTAGTGGAAATTGCGATGGAACTGATAATTAATCATAAAATTACAAAAATTGGTGATGACTGATATTAAATATGATATATTGGTGATGAAATTTGTGACTGAATTCATGTTAAATATAGGCAAAATACATGCCATATGACTTGTTTTTTAATTCTCAAAATTTCTAAAATAACATAATTGTTGGAGATGTTTTAAGCATTTTTTTAATGTATATTTACAAAAAAAAAACATTATATTTACAATACATAAATTTAATATTAAAAATACATAAAGTAATAATTATTAATGTATAAATAAATTTAATATTGAAACCTTGCACAAAAAGATGATTTTTTTAACACCTTAAATAACATATTAAAGATTCATACCTCATAAAAGAGAATAAATAAATATTTACTCGATATCGATATTATATATTATAAATTTGAGTAAAATTATTTGACTTTTGAATATTACATTTAATTTTATTTATAATTCAATAAAAATATACTGATTAAATTAATATATTATTTGACATCCTTTTTGAAAACGGACAGATCATGCTTTTCTACCTTTTCGTACGTAAAAGGTGGGGAGTGGCGCACACGCGCCAGACACTGCGGGTGGTAGAAGCTTCCATTAGTGCGAAGATTTAGATCTGATCAAAGTAAAAGTAACGAGTTTGCAGAAACTTCAAAACATACCCTCAACTTTGGATATTGTTCCCCATGTAGTCCTCAATCTACTTCCACATATTTATTTAGTCCATAAAACTTGTTTTAACAATTTTTTTGTCAACTTTATTGTGCATCATAATTTGTTGTCAACTTAAAAATAATGACAAAAGGCTCATGCTTATATCTTTCATCTATAAACCACAAATAGTTACCGTAAGACTGTTAATATCAAGCATTCTGATATATATCAAAAAAAAAACATCAACACTGCACCTAGTGATACCAGAATGGGAACATGAGATAGTTCATCAAATAGACTCGTTTTCAAAACAATAAGCAATGTTTTGATCAGTGTATAAACAAGTCTGATATCTGACTTAGCTCAAAACAAATCATCTACACAGTAGAGAAGTTTGGAACACAAAACAAATCATCTACACAGTAGAGAAGTTTGGAACATTACAGTAACATCCAACACCAGTATTTAACATAAATATACCTTTTAGGTTTAATTCAACGTGGATCAAGTGGTCAACTTGATGAAGACAGAGTAAACATCTCAAATTAGAACGTTGCATTCGTGAAATGCTAATAACGTGTAAATATAAGAATAGTAATTCTTTTATCTTATCACATGCTATATTCCAATCTTCTGTAAAACCAGTTTATAAGCAACAAAACTTATATCCTAAAAAAAACGTTAATTTTTTTTTGATACATATGAAACGGTTCAAATAAGAATGTTAAATATCGTAGGAAGATAATAAAGAAAAGTTAAGAACGTGTTCGTATTTGAATCGTTGAAAAAATCTATTTGAAGATGCATATGTGACCCGACGTTACAAATTATTCATAACACGTTTACATATGCATCTTCAAATGAAATTTTTTTCCCAATATCTCATAACCTTCTATTCTTACCTTTTTTTCATGATACTTAGTCTTATTATTTGAACTTTCTGCTTGTTACATAATTTTCAATAAATCTTTTTTTACTGATGCTAAATTTTTTTTTTGATAAATATTAAATTGAACTAAAAATTGATTGCAAGTTGTAGACAAGGGGGAAAAGTTGTTGCATGATTAAGGGAGGGTGAAAGTGTTAATTTGAAGAGTTGAGGGGGTATTGTTGGAGTTTGTTGTTTTTGATCAATGAAGAAATAGATATAGTCTGTACCGAAAATACTTGGGGCTCTGGTAATTTGGTGGAATCTATAACAAACAAACACCCTCTCCCCATTTTCACCCAATCCCTTTCTCTCTCTTCCTTCTTCTCTTTCTCTCTCTCACTAGAATTCATATTTGTCTGTTGTATGCCACCGTCTGGTCGGCAGCGAGGCTTCAGGTCAGTCACAATTCCTGTCTCTCTTCCCTTTGTGTTGTCACTCTCTGTTTTCTGCTTAAATTCCTCTGTGCTTCTTTCTTGCCTTTGTGATAAACCCGCTTCCCTTTTTGTCTAATCTGACTCAAGAAATTCAATTCTGTTGTTTATTGATCTGGGATTTTGTTTATAGACAGAGAATAAGATTTCTCGCTTTAATGGAGGTTCTATTTTTAACTGCTCTGCTTGTTTGTCGTATGATTTCTAAGAAAATGGGGTGTTTAATCTGAATAAAACCCGAATCCACTTGTTGAAATTGAAAGAAGTTGTTCATGATTTTGTGATGAATTTGTTGTGATATGGTTGGAAGTTATGAACCGTTTTTAGCAATTTTCAAATTTCTATGGCGACAATGAATAGAGTTATTAAGTTCTGTTTTGATTGTTTTTGTGTGATTTTGAAGGTATTTATATGTGCTTTCTGTGTGGTTTTACAGCAACTATCGGGAGGGTTTTGGGGGTTTCTAGCATAAGGGTTTTACTTTGAAGATGATTAATGTGATGGATCATGTGAATAAACCCATGAATGAAGTGGATAAGAGCTTGGATGGTCAGTTATGGCATGCCTGTGCTGGTGGTATGGTTCAAATGCCGGAATTAAACTCGAAGGTTTTCTATTTTCCTCAAGGCCATGCTGAACATGCTGCCGCCGGCAATGGCGATTTCCGGGATCTCCCAAGAATCGCGCCGTACGTTCTCTGTGGAGTCTCCGCCGTCAGCTTCATGGCGGATTCCGACACAGACGAGGTTTATGCTAAAATAGGGCTTGTCCCTTTGGGAAATCACAACGATTGTGATTTCGATAATGATGGTGGGTTTTTAGGGTTTGATCATAACAAGAATGAAAATCAAGAAAAACCGGCTTCGTTTGCCAAGACTTTGACTCAATCTGATGCTAACAATGGTGGCGGGTTCTCCGTTCCGAGATACTGTGCTGAAACGATCTTTCCCAGATTGGATTACACGGCTGAGCCACCGGTTCAGACGATCTTGGCTAAGGATGTTCACGGAAAGCTGTGGAAGTTCCGGCATATCTACCGGGGGACCCCTCGTCGCCATCTTTTGACCACCGGCTGGAGCAATTTCGTGAACCAAAAGAAGCTTGTAGCCGGCGATTCCATCGTGTTCTTGAGAGCCGATAATGGTGATCTCTGTGTCGGAATTCGGAGAGCCAAGAGAGGAATTGGGAGAGGGTTTCTTGATTCCAATTCCTCTGGATGGAACACTACGATTGCTGGGATTGGGAATTCTGGGAAAGTAACTGCGGAATCTGTGATTGAAACCGCCAATCTAGCGGCAGCGGGGCGGCCATTCGAGGTGGTTTATTACCCACGAGCAAGCACGCCGGAGTTTTGCGTAAAAGCTTCGACTGTAAAGGCGGCAATGAGGATTCAATGGTGTCCGGGAATGCGGTTCAAGATGGCTTTCGAGACGGAGGATTCGTCGAGAATCAGTTGGTTCATGGGCACCATTTCTTCCATTGATGTCGATGATCAAACACGTTGGCCGAATTCTCCATGGAGGCTCCTCCAGGTTCACTCTTCGTACCTTTTTGAAAAACTTGAAGTTTATTAGCAATTTTCTTGCAATTTAACCGTTTTGATTCGTTTCCGATTGCAGGTAGCATGGGATGAACCCGATTTGCTACAAAACGTGAAGCGGGTTAGTCCGTGGTTAGTTGAATTGGTGTCGAATATGCCATCGATCCATCTTTCGCCATTTTCGCCGCCAAGAAAGAAGCTTCGGATCCCTCAACCGCCCAATTTCCCCCTTCTTCCGATGCCTTCGATGATCACCAACAGCATTCCCACAAGCATTCAGGGAGCCAGGCATAATCCTCAATTTGGATTCAATCATCATCAAAAATACTTCAACAAGATCCAATCATTTCCATTTTGGTCCCCAAGATTCCCTCCAAGATTCATCGAAACATCCCAAGAAACCGATGAAAACGTGTCTTGCTTGCTAACGATCGGGAACAATACCAACTTGAAGAACAACGATGACGAAAAAGACGACAAAAAACCCATCTTCGTGTTGTTTGGTAAGCCAATTTTCACCGAACAGCAGCTCTCCGAGAGCAGTTCTGGTGACACCATAGCGAATCAATCTGATGGTTCGGTGGTGGTTCAGAATGGTCCAGTCGAGAGCTCATCCGATGAAGCTGGTCCATGGTGCAAAGACCAAAAGTCTGAGTTTGGGCTCGAGACCGGCCATTGCAAGATTTTCATGGAGTCTGAAGACGTGGGGCGGACACTCGATCTGGCTACTTTTCATTCATATGAAGAGTTGTACCGGAAGCTCGCGGACATGTTCAGTATCGAGAAACCCATAATGCTGAACAACTTGATTTACCGTGACTCGGCTGGTGCCGTAAAACACACCGGAGACGAACCGTTCAGGTATATTGCATGATCGTGCTGTACAACATGCATTAAAACTTGTATGATTCGTGTCTAACGGGTTTTTCTTGTTGTACATTGCTGCAGTGAGTTCTCAAAGACCGCACAAAGGCTAACGATCGTGATGGATTCAGGCAGCCATAACGTAGGACTATTAGCGACGAATTAATGGGTTTCGTGACATGTACAGTCGTTGCTAATTCAAATTCTTACGATTTTTCTTGTCTTTGTTTCTGGGAGTTGTGGTAAAGGCCCCATCGACCGATTTTGAGACGGTTTAGTTTACGGTTTTCTGCTGTTTGCATTTTGCTCAATTAAATGTTGTTTTGGGTTCGAATTCTGTAGTTTTTGTAACTTGTCATGGTTAATGTGTCGTAACGGCCTTCTGTCGCTAAATTGCTACGTGACAGTGGCGGTGGCGGTGGATCCACGGTCTTTGTTTGGTGGTTGAAACCAACAATTGAGTTTGGGCAACAGACAAATTGGTCACCGTGCTTCCAAGGTTCTTGTAATCGGACAAAATTAAATTATTAATTAAATACACTTTTTCACAATCTCACAAAATGTGGCCAAAATTGTAAGAAAAAGTCAAAACAAGGACTAGTTGTGTTACATTATCAAACCTTGCAAGCACAACAATTCAATACATTAAGTAAATATTTTGAACATCGGTAGGTAATATTGGCATCTTAAATGTGTTGTATTGTACGAGTATATTCGTTTAGCGTATATGTGTAACGGACTTTTTGGTACAGTTGTTGCATGATTTAACATGTCTTTTTTAATGCAAAAGTTATGTAATTATAAAACATCATTGCTAATCAATGATTACCATGAAGTCCTTGTACATGGGTTTTTGAATTATATTTGAATGATAAATAAAAAGGATTTAAGTTTGTAAAATTAATGTTGATGTTTTAAAAAGTCAAATATAAGATTTAGAAAAAAGCATGAGACCATTAATTATGGGAGTTAGCAAAGGGCATCCATTAAAGAAGTGGTGGGCATTGAACACAGAAATGTGTGTTGTTAATCCCAACCCAATCAAGCAAAAAGAAGGGCGCAAATGGTGGAAAAACAAATTTATAGGGATTTGAGAGTTAAGTTTTTAAAAGTTGAAGGGCCCTGAAATTAAGGGATTTTTTGGTCAAACTTTGCCTCTTTCTCACAAACCATATTCAAGTGTGGAAGATATGTCACCCAAACAAACCAACCTCTTTTGTGTGTCCACACACCCCATACCTACTCAATGTTACCCCTTTCAAAATATTATTTACAGGTATTTTTCAGGGTAAAAAGATTGATAACCGGTAGTTCCAACCAGTTCATATGAAACCTGTTTTTATAGACATTTTTTTGGTTGATTCAACGGTTGAGGCTGGTCGGGGGTCTTGAATCAAACTCATAACCTGTTTTGTATATGTTTATTGAAAGTATGTTAATTTAAAAATAGAAAGTTCATATTAGATTTGTGTGTACATGATGATCCGATACAAGGGTCAATTTTAGATAGAGTCAATTAGGTTATGAAAACAAAAGATATTACTGCAAAAATTAAATTTGATGTAAGATAACTGTTTTATCTTTTTTTTCCTTCATATTTTAATACTAGACTCGTGTTAACATAAGGTTATTGCTTATGTTATTTTTTTTACATTAATACACAACTTATTACAAAGATTTGCCTTTGAACAATATCTGAATTTGGTAAAAAATGATCAGGGACTAAGACGAATGATCGAGTGAGAAGGAAAGTTAAGATGAAAAACATAAGAATAGATTTGGAACCTTGATCATCTTTAATCTCAAACTCACTCATGATTCCCACTTGATACAATGAATGATCTGGTACATCTCATCCTAATGTACACCTAAAGGTGAAAATTCATTCTTACGCTTTTCACATTGACTTGCCTTATCATTGAAACCCAACATTAGGGACTAAAAGGGTATTATTTTAAAAATTTGTGGATGGAATTAGAAAATTAGCATTGTTATGATGAAATAGACAGCTTGCACACGTGTGGTCGTTTAGCCTCGTGATAGGTTAAAAAATGGATATAAAGATTATAATTAAAGAATATAATATTGCTTCTATTTAATTGTGTGTATCAAAATTATAACAATTCACTTTGACTAACATTTATTTTATTTTATTATTAATTGTTACAAATATTTGTGTAATTTTTGTTGATGAACTTTTCCATTAAAAATGTTCTAAAATATTTCATTGTTACATAAAAAAGAGTCAAATTACACTTCCTTTCCATATGTGAAATAAAAATCAGAATACATATTTCGTTTAAGTGATAATAAAATAAATAATAACCAAAAAAATACAAAAGAATCAGATATAACAAAAAAAATGCCATAAATACCAGAAAAACGATTAAAATAAAGTACAATACGACCAATTACAATTTATCCGAAAATGAAAGAATTGTTTGAATACATAATTAAAAACAAATATATATATATATATATATATATATATATATATAAAGAATATTGTATTGTATGGTAAAAGTAGAAGGGTATCCAATAGGACATGTATTTGCAATCCATAGGCCCAAGATCCCAAGCAAAATGTTTTGATCTCTGTTACAAAGTCAGAGAGTCAACCCTAGAAACTCTCCACCCATGTTTTCCTCATTTCTTGTTTTATAAGAATTTAGTATTTTATTTATTAACTTAAAATGTAAATATTATCTTTTTCAAAAAAAAAAAATTCCAAATGAGATATCAGATTTAAGTATCCGTTTGGTTTGCAGGAATAAAATAGATTTGGATTTCAAATTCATATTCATGTTTGGTTTGTTAGATTATCCGGATTTGAAATTTTATAATTTAATTGAAATCCTATCAATATAGGATTTTAAAATCTTTAAGGGTGTTCGGGATTTTGTAGAATTGTATGTAATTAGGTTTTTTTTTTTAAATGTTAAAAACATTTGTTTTGTAATAATCGATTATTAAAAATATAACTTGATTATTTAAAAAAAAATTATAAAGCATTTATAAATAATGGAATCCAACTCATATTCAAATCCTATAAACCAAACACACCAATGATTTCAAATCTTTTTCAATCTAAATCCCTCCATGAATCCAAATCCCTCAAAAACTATCATGCAAAGCAAACGGGCCATAAATATTATGATTTGAAGTCAGGTAGTTACTTTTGTATAATCGACAAGTTTTGCTTTCAAATTTTTTTTTTGTAGACATGAGTTTTTCAGCTGTACACTTTGGGACATGATCGAATAGGTAGAGAATAAGTTGTGTACTTTCTTTTTCTTAACGTCTCTGGATTTTCAAAATAATTTCTAATTTTCTTAGTGTCTTTGATATTTTTATAAGCCAGATTTATTCATGAAAACAACTTCTATATTTGAGTTATATCATATGATATTTATGGTTTCGGTTTTCGTTTATAGGTTTTGTATTTTTATTTTGTTATCATATATTTTTTCTCACAATTAATTTTATTAAAATCGTATTTTTTTTATATTGTATCAGTCAATCAATTACAAAAAACACAATCATATAAGGTCAAGTTTATGGTCATGGAGATTCACCTACAATGACTCCGCCTGAAAAATTAGTCAGTGTGCGTAAACTGACCCGGAAACCTATGGTTACTCGAAAAAATATATACATATTAAAGCATCTCAAAAAGCCGTGCTATAATTTTTTTCTAAAACTATTTATATCAAAAGTTAAAATCTCTAAAAAAATTACATTCAACTCCAATAGTTACTCAAGTTTAGCAATTATACTATTGACTATATTATTAAAATATTCAATACATTTAATAAAATATTATTGTTCTATCTGAAACAGTTAATTTTAATGTCTCCGATTGATGAGAAAAAAATTCAATACCATTCCTCTTTTCTTAATTTGAAGTTTTAGAGATATCTCCAAATTTGGAGATTTCTATCATCGCTATCTTATTTTCTTTATTTTTAACATACAACATAACATAGATGTTGAAGCAAAAATATACCATAAATCTCCAAAATCCCTAGTTTAGCATAATTGTTGGGGTTACTCTTGTTATGCAAATCATATTCACATTTCATACATAAACATGGACTTGCTAAATAACCAGGGTTGACAATCGATAAGGGTAAACTCGTTACCTGTTAGGTTTCGTTCCATTGGATAAGGATATAGATAAAGAAGTTTTTATCCATTACTCGTTTACCCGAAATTTTGGTGGATATTGTATAAATAAACAGTTTTTCATTATCCATTACCAATTACCAATATATATATATATATATATATTATACACACATAAATATATTAAGTTACTATTAATTTTTTAGGGAGGTTCATACGATAATAATACATATTTAAGAAAATAAGTAATCATAGGTCAATCATATTTGAATAATGCCTTGAATAAAACTTTCTACGTCCAAAAAGCATACGTGTCATTTGTTTAATACATATTTTATATGAAAATTCATTTATTTCCATAAAGATTATTTAATACGTTCAATAAAGGTATTTATTCATAATATTTTGTTTTCATAATTTTCATAATCTAAGCATGATGATTTTTTATTTATTTTGTACAACATTTAAAATAAATGTGATTTAGTTTTATTTATTTATAATATTTATTTTTATTGAAGTAGATTATTTAAGAATTTTTTATAATTTTTGTCAAAAATCATATGTGATTTCCACAATTAATCGTTTTCTTTTTTCAAAAAAGAATCGCTAATTTTTGTCGATGTATCATATTTGATATTAATTATGGTAGAAAATAAATGTAAGTTATCTACAACATTACATGTGATTGATGTAAATTACAAATTACGTTTTGAAGTATATATGATCTTTTAATTTTAAATGTGTTTTGTTGCACATCACATGCGATTTTGTTTTGATTATTTTTCTTTTTCAATGTTTTATTTGTATTACTTTTCAAATTTCAGATCTCATATGATTAGAAAAACATTTTCATACAAAATAATTAGTTGTGAATCAAATGTGATTTTGAAGAAAACTGCAGTTTTTTAAAATATTGCTTTAATATGCTTATTTTAAATGAATTAAATATAAAAAATATATTTTAAATAAAAAAATAAGTCATTAAAACCGTAACTATGAAAAAAGTATAACCTTAAATAAATGGCTTAAATAACTTACATGTAACTAAATTACCTTTATGCCATTTATTTATTTTTAGAGTTAATTATTGAAGATATTTCTTAACGAAATCTATAATCCATATATATTCTCTTATTTTTTTAAATGCATATCATTCTCGTATGAACCCGACTCTAATATTTTTATAATGTTACCATATATATCATATGTTGATATGTAATTTAATTTACCTTTTATATTTGCCCGGTAAAAAAGTTCATGATGATTTAAATGAGAAACAAGACGAGGTTGAAAAAATAAGCACAACAAAAAGTGTTACATATATTTTTCAAACATTATATCATGAGCATATTTAGAGTAATATTAAAACATTTACAACAAATTAAACATAAAATAATTATTATATTTATAAATTTATGTTGTACATATATGCATGAGGTTTAACAACGTTCATAGGTCAAAATGAATCTTGTTTTAACATTTATCAAATACCTGTTTTGTTACTTGCTATTCTAAATGAATTGAATAACAGAATAACCCATTGCTATGAACAACCAAAGTAGAACATTAAAGGTCAAAATAATGCAGAATATCAGTATCCTTAAACTAACCAACCAACAAATATCAGATGATTTCGATCCGGGAAAAGTTCAAATGAAAGCCGCAACAGGTCAAGAAATTTGATTAAAATCACCAAAGATAACTAGACAATCCTAAAATCAACAATCAAGGAATTTGATTAATTAAGCAGAAAAGGACACATCAATCCAGAACTCCAGTATTTGCTTTCCAGCAATTCAAGTAATCTTTAAGCAAGTATTTGCTCTAGTCTTAATGATCAACGGAAAAGAGGCTGTATGCGAAAGGGTACTCGGACTAAAGTGCTATTTCTTGGCCATTGGATCAGCAAGGGTGTGATTCAGATGGATCAAGAGAAGCAGGAAATAGAATGATGAAGTGATGGGTAAGCTTAAGTAATCCCTACCTTCCCTAGAGAACTGAGAAGAGATRGAAGTCTGATTAGCTCTTTTGTCATGAGCACCGGGCTAAGGGGCGGTTGAGCAACGCAAGCAAACCGCACGACCCTACTACAACATTTTAAAATCTGCCTCCAGCAAGATAGGGCGACGCAAAAAAGCCGTATAGTGCAGGAGCGCGCACATTTTTTGGCTTACGCTTGCACTTGAATTTAAAAATCCGGCTCGCTCCCGGCCTTTGGACCCTTGTTAAAGCACCAAAATTCAGCAACACAAAACTGAAAACCCTGAATTCTGAGTACATATGATATTCAGTTATAAGCCAAATAGAAACCAACATATTTAACATAGTTTCCACCAACAGGAAAACAAATGACAATTATCACCCACTCAACAATCAAAGAGATAGAAGCTTTCCCGCTCCTTGCCATCTCTTGACCGGGAAGAGGAGAAGTTTGGAAAGACCGCAATTCCATTATTCGTGAGAAGACTAGAAGAAGGGGATTAACCGATTAACCCAGTTTTGAACTTTTCTACTATCCAGGAAGAAGTGACCAACACAAAATTTACCCTGAATTCAACAAGCAGCAGGTCAAACAATACCAGGGCAGCCTCACATTATAAAATCAACAATCAATAAATTCAACTATTTTAGCTCAAAAAGCCCAATCAAGTCAAATCTCAAGCACCTAGTTTTCAGCAACTGGGAAGACCTTACCCCAGTCATAAAACAAAGAGCATGAGATTCTGCAACACGTAGATAATTGACTTGCTTGCCCAACCAGGATGAAAGCACGTAACATAAAGCATCAAAGTCAGCAACCAATATATTGTGAAAAGAGGCGGTTTACTTCGACAGCTATAGGCTAGAGCTAGAAGAAAGAGGTCATGGTGGAGATAGGCTTTGCATAAACCCCAAATTCCAATGAGATATATAGTTTAACAATAGAAAGTGAATGTATTTGCCCTCATATGCACCTAAACATTAGAAGGAAAAAATTGAGAAGTTGTACAACACTCGAGAATCAAGTGATCAACGAATGACCCCAGTTTTAAACTTTGTATCATCCAGGCAGAAGTGATCACACACAGTTCTATCCTAAATTCAACAAAGCCAACAAAACCAGGGTAACTCTTGCATTCTAAAACCAGCAACCAACAAAACTGATTATCTTAGCTCAAAATCCAAAACAAGTCAAATCTCAAGCATCTTGTTTTCAGCAACTGAGAAAACCTTACCAGTCATAGAACATAAGGCATGAGACTCTGCAAGTCATAAGTAATTGACTTGCTCGCCCAACCATGATGAACCAGGCACATAACATAAAGCATCATAAGTCGGTAATCAATACATAACAGAAAACCTAAATTGCAATCACATATATAATTTACCAAATGGAAGCTAATAATTTGCCCTAATGTCCACCGAAACATTGAAAGTAACAAATTGCGAAATTTTAGAACGTGATCAGTAAGTGAACCTGGTTTTGAACATTTGTACCATCCAGGAAGAGGCGGTCACAGACAATTTTACCCTAAATTCAATAAGTAAGAGGTCAAACCAAACAGGGTAATTCTCACATCCTAAATCAACACCAACAAATTTGATTATTTCAGCTCAAAAAAATCAAAGTCAAAGCTCAAGAATCTAGTTTTCAGCAACTGGGAAAACCTTTACTTGGTCATAGAACATAAAGCATGAGATCCTGCTATTCACGTATTATTGACTTGCAGGCTTGCAGCCCAACCAGGATTAACCAAGCACATAACTAAAAGCATCACAATCAGTGGAATATGTAATATAAACTCTAGATTCCAAATACATATAGTCTACCAAATAAGCTAACATATTTGTCCTAACGTCCACCTATACATTCAAATAAACAACTTGATAGATCATTGAACGCGATCAGCACGTTAACACAGTTTTAAACTTTTTACCAACCAGGAAAAAGCATCGCACACAATTTATCCTAACGTCAACGCTTAACAGTTCAATTATGTGGTGACTCAACATATTCTAAGATCAACAATTGACAAATATCGATTATTTCAGCTAAAAAACCCCAATCAAGTTAAAACCCGATTATCTGCTTTTTCAGCAACTCAAACAGCCTAGGCCATCAATCAATTAAAACGCAATCGACTTAGGTTACCCCGCCAGGAAGAAGAAACGCAGAAGACAACATTGAAATACAGCAACTAGCGTGTAAAGACCAAATTCCAATTACATGCATATTCTCAAGCTTAATATTATACAAAACAGTTTAAAACATGTGCTTTATTCTTACACAACCAAATTCGAATGTTTTAAATCCTTTTTCATGATTGAACTTACATAAATACCATCATAGCTGCAATCTCAGTTATAGTAGAGTTCTAATCCCATGCCATCGTGAATCTCATAGTCCTTGAGAGTGATATGATCCTTGTAGATGTTGTACCACTTCTGGATCCTGATCTTGTCGGCACGGGTTCCCGTCTGAGCTGCAACGAGCTTCTTCAAGTCGCCGATGGTATCGTCGTCGTTGCACTTCACGCGAACCTTCTTCCCCAAACGATCGTTCAACACCACCTCGATCATCTTCGTCGATCTTTGATTTCCTCCTGCGATTCAATTAGATGGATCGAACCGTATGAATGAATTGGAAACCCTAGTTCCTATTTCCACGACCCTTGTATACCTTATATAAATACAAGGCGGTGGATAGCTTTAAAAAAGGTCTATATTCTTTACATACCTTTTATTTAATAGAGTAAGTTACGGATTTGGTCCCCAAGGTATGTCAAAATTATGAATTTGGTCCCTTAATTTCACTTATTACAAAATAAACCTTCATGTATGCAGTTCCTTATGGATTTAGTCCTTTACATTAACGGTCATCCAATCTTTCAGTTAAACTCAAGGGCATTATGGTTTTTTTACCTTTACTACAAACGTGAAGGTTTCTTTTATAATTAATTAAGTTAATTGACCAAATCCATAATATTTGATATACCTTAGAGACCAAATCCGTAATTTACTATTTTTAATATTTTATCTATAACATTCCCCAAAATAGATGAAAGAAACTTAAAATCTTCAATATATACACAACCCTTATATTTTTATTTATTTTTAATATAATATTGATTATATTATTAAAACATTAAATACATTTAAGTATCGTAATAAAACATCAAATAAGCAAATTATTGAATGATAACTTTATGTTATAGTTCTTTCGTATTTTCTTTCAAATACATATTATCTTTCTTTAAAATATAATTTTAAGAGTATTCAAAATCATGGTGTGGGATGAGTATTTTCTTTCAAATACATATTACTTCAAAGATGTCAGTTTTGAACTTATGCTACAGAAAGTGAAAGATGTCATCGACCAGGAATCCATAAAGCTTTAACTTGACATGCTAACGATCATATTTGGTACACATCGTTCATTTTTGTGTATATAGTCTATAAAATGTGTTTGCAAATACGTCACGACATGAAAATTTGAAGGGGGCGATGAGTAAACCATTTCCAGGTACAAGATTTAGGGTTAGGGTCGTAGGGTCGATGGGGAGGGAAAGGGACCACGAAGATTATAGATTTTGGGGGGCGGGGGCAGTGGCAACTTTTGAATAGTGGTGCCAAAATGATGGTTCTGGTCAAGGGACGCCACAATGATGGTTTTAAATGGAGGCTGACAGTAGAGGAGACGGAAAAGACGAAGACAGAGACTAATGTGTCAATGATCGTGTGTATAATATGTACATTTAAAATACTTTATACGACATAATATTTGTTTTTAACAGGAAAAAGATTAAAAAGGGTCAAAAGAGTTAAATACCTCTTGAGTTAACCGAGTAAACCACAAGACCATGACCATAACAAAATGAATACCACTAGGACCAAAACCGTAATAAAGAAAGTTTAGAGACCGTAGTCGTAATTTTGAACAAAAAACAGGGACCAAAACTATAATGCACTCAAACTAAAATGATCACATAGAATTGGGTTTGACGGGTAAGTGCATGCGAATCGGATCAAAACCCGAAACAAAAGGTAGGTGGAACTCCCTGAATATGACGCACGTGCACCGCACGCTGGTGTGACTGGACTTCGTATTTTGTAATTTGTATTTCTCTCTTTCTCTGGCATTGGCTTCTGCTTCTTCCTTTCAGCTTCTCCGCCCATTTTTCATCTCTTTCTCTCTCTCACACAGAGCTTCTGTGATAATGGCAGGTCAGTGAGTTATCTTTCTCTCTATATTTACATGTCCACTGTTTGTAGATAAATATTTCATCCGCCCCTAATTAAACTAATCGTTCAGTCGAAGGAAATAGGTCGTTTAACTCGATCGTACTTGAATCAGTTTTTGTTTGTTCGATTCATCTGATACGATAAATTCTTTGGATATCAGCTACGGGAAATAACGAACTTACTTGTAAGTTAATCGGAATAGAGAGAAATCAATGTTTGATAACTACTTGTTTGTGTCAAGACGAAGATGATGATTTGTTTAATACTCGAAGTGACTTGATAAGTGATGATTATGGATACATGTTTTCCGGTAACCTGGACATTGATTTGTATGGCGATTTAAAGAGTGTTTGTATTGAATAAATTGAAACAAAAGTTTACTTGGATTTCAAGGATAACACAAAGGGTATGATCGGTGGTATTTGTACATATTTTAATGTAGCTACACTATGTGATTGAAATAATTGGATTCATAGTTTTGTGTATGAGCAATAATCAGCTTGACAGTAAAAGTCAAACCGGGACTCTTGATGAATACATATCTTCTGTGTTTCTAATATAAGTTAAAACATATTGTTCATATATGATGAAGTAAGTGGAAGTAGATGTTATGCTTAGATTGAAGTCTTTTGGGATAGGTGAGGATGATATTAGCCATCTCTTCAGTCCAACGATTTTCAGAACCGAGGTTGGTTAATAGGAAACTGCTCTGCAAGAAATGCATGAGATTTGTCTCTTTCGATTAGGATTTTGTGTGTATTTTTCTATGATATCTGAGTGCCTTTTCCTTAATAAACGATAAGGGGAGATGATTGATCCAAGAGATCACATGGGTTTGATTTGACAATGAAGCAGGCTTGTGAGGAAACCTTGTTATTAGTTTCCTAGTGCAGGCAATTTTTTCTTGGTCCTGATAATTCATTTCGCAGATTATATCTGCTTTCTGTTGTTTGCCTGCTCCCTTGTTCCATTCTTCCCTATCTCTCTAAAATTCTCAACTGGTACACTTGCTCTTTTTATCTGTAGTTTCTAAAAGATTAGCTGTAAGAAATATTTCTTAACCTTTTCGTATTCATCTTGATCAACTTAATCTGCTGTATGATAAAGCACACAAAGTTTTCTTCTAAAGGGTAGTTGTTCTTGTTCATGGTTAATTTGAACTTATTGCAACAGAGGGAAACAGTATTCTGAACATGTCCCTTTTTGATGTATTAACCCGAAAAGAAAATGAGTGGAACTTGCCATTAGATCTTGCACTCAGCTTCACGGCAGTAGCAGTTGAGGATTTCAATTTGACTTTCTTTTCTGATTTAACTTTGAACCGAAGTTAAGAGAACCTTAGATGCAGTAACATCTTATAAGTTCAACTTGATAAAGCAATTATCTCGTGATAACTCAAACACGACCACTTAAAATTTTTTGGCTTATTATTTAAAATTGTGCTAATCTGATAAAACTCCAAATCTTTTATGCAGAATTGACAGGGAAAATTGTTCAAAATTTATTGAGTGAACAATGCTGCCAGCAAAATAGGCAGTTCGGCACCCTATATCAAAGGGACCGATGTACTCAATATAAACGCAACTTGCTTCTATTCCAAGGAAGGAAGTTGGCATGGACGGGCATCTCGGCCATGCAATTGCGTAGTGTGTCAAATGTTAACCGAGGAGTTGTTTACTGCAATGGTCTGTTCTAGATTCTTACCCTCCAGGTTGATATCAAATGCAACCAAGATTTTAAGGCCTTAAGATTCTCAAGATAACCCACATCTTAATACATAATCTATGCTTTGGCATTTCTTCTTTCAATATCTCATACTATATTAAGGAACCTGTATTTTTAGTGGTGTAAAAAAGATCCAAATCACATAGAAAGCATCACATGCTCTATGAAGCTGGTACAAGGATGGGATTTTTATAGCAATCAGGAAGAACTAGTAATGGATAAACCCCCTTTCTTGGTCTTCCATTAAGAGGTTGTTGCGTAAGACTTGAATAACATCTGCTGGAACACCCATGGAATTTATCATGAACTCAATGAATTAATTTCAAGATATAAGGCATTCCTTTAATCCTATCATAGGAGGTGGTTCAAAAGGACTCTGTTCATGCATAAAATATTCTGCAGCTCTTACTAGGAGTCCAGACTAGATGATAGCCTCTAAACCACACACCACTTATGAATGAGATGGAGAAAGAGACATGTGCGCTACATTTGTTAGAGAGGGAGGATAGATATTGATATTCTTAGAAGTAAGCACAGTGCACCGAGTCTCCTCTGCTTTGCAAATAATAAAAGGTTAGGGAAAAATCTTTATAAGCAACTTTTCTGTTGCATTTTGCAATGTGGTCATTTCTTTCATCCTTCAGTCGCAAAGGTGTAACCTTACCTGTTGCTTTAACATTTGGCCTTACAACGTGTTAGACAAATCGTGTTAGGTCATGAAGTTACTATAATTTGGAGAGGATAAGACAAACATCATTTACCAAAAGTTCTACACAGTAAATGCACTAATGGATACCTAATTTTAGAGGCATGAGAATAGGAAATCCATAATTCTTATGATGAGTTATAATTAACAAGTATCTGATTATTGGTGATTCATGAAACATTCTAACTCTTAAAGAAACTAAAACTGAAATGATTTCATAGACAATCCAAGAATAGGGATAAGGCCTAGTGTGAGAGAGTTAATTATTTTATGTGCTTTTCAGCTATTATCTTTTTATCCACTAAGTTTTGTCTCTAATAGATTCTTCTTGCAGCTGCTCCATCAACTACTGCAGTACCATCACTTGAAAAAGTAGATTTTCTGAAACTTCAAAATGGCAGGTAAAATTTTACCTTCAATGGTTATAATTTTTCCTTACTTTGTTGATACATAAGAAGTCTGTCAGCAATCATTTTTTGTTATCTAAAGCACTATGTACCATAAAAATGAAAAGGTAAGATTTATTCTATACGATTTTTATGGTGTAAGCTTTCCTGCAGTTTCACTAATGCATCTTTACTAGCTTATTTTCTGGTCCACTTTAACCAACATAATTCTTATATCATTTTCACCATCCTCTGATGATATTTGCTTGAAAGTTGGCGCCTAAGATTCACTTCCTGTCTCTCTAGTCTCCATATCATCTGAAGAGTTGTCCTTCCTCTAGTCTTGGTTCATGTTTGCACTTGTGATTTTTGTTTCAAATTGGCTGAGGTTCGATTGCTACAAATTTATAAAATAAAATTTATTTATTCATACAAAATTGTAAACTGAAGATTGGTGTGCAGAGAGGCAATTTATTTTGTGTGCTCATTTTTCTTGCATACTTGCCTCAATACAGTGATATTCGTGGTGTCGCTGTTGATGGCGTTGCGGGAGAACCTCTTAGCCTCACGGAGCCAGTGACACAAGCGATAGCATCTGCATTTGCGGCGTGGCTTTTAGATAAGAAAACGGCTGATTCATCTAAGCGCTTCAAAATTTCTATCGGTCATGATTCTCGGGTTTCTGCACAAATGCTACAGGTGTCAACTCTACTATAATTACGAATGAGGTTATCATTAGGTGTATTGCTCCCACATCTTTTGCCTTCTCGTTTTCTGCATTGTTGATGTTAGCCACCCTTGTCCCAAATAGTTTGGGCTTGGAGAGATGTAGGAAATCCTGTAGGAAAGTTACGGGTCAAGGTAAAAAGAAGTGTGAGTAACTATGGTAGTATTATCAATCCATTTCTATCTATACGTGTGTGTGTGTGTATATATATATATAATGCTTTATGTGTGTTGTCTGAAAGCTTGATCTAACCTTTACAGGATGCAGCTTCTCGGGGAATTGCCGGCGCAGGCTTGGATGTTGTGCAATACGGGTATTTATCTATTGAATACATGATCATGAAGTATATAATGTTCTTTCAGTAGGAAGATACTTGAAGGATAATATCTGGTAGGGAAAAGCTTTGAATTTTCTTTCACAAAAATTGAAATATAAAAATGTTCTCTTGATGCTATATGAAGGTTAGTTCTCTGATTAGCAAGGGACACAAATAATCTTTGAGTGCTAGGGAAAATCGTAGTATGTCCAGGATTTATTAGGGGTTGTATGGCTCACTCCTTTTATCAGGTTGACGGCCCACACCATTCTAGTTGTCCAAGCCCAAAAAACATGAAGAAATGTCAGCTCATATCAGCTTTTACATTCTGGGCATTGTTCGTTCAATTCTTTTCATATACGTTTTTGTAGATTGGCATCCACGCCGGCAATGTTCAATAGTACACTGACGAAAAATGAAGATTTCCAATGTCCAGTTGATGGAGCTATCATGATAACAGGTAAAATGTACGGTATCAAAAATGTGTAGTCATTAGTTACTTTTTAGGTGTGTTGACTTGCAGAATATGCTGTTTGATATGTTAACTTAATGTTCGAAAGGCTAAAAGATGCCTTTGTGATGTGTAACATGCACGTATATAGAGTTACCATTAAGTTGGCAGTTTTCAAAGAAGTGTGTTGTCCTATATGGGGAAGATAATGAGGCATGGGGAAGGTTGAAGTGCATGAATATAACACTATAAGAGAAGAAATAAAGTCGAAAAGAATAGAGGGATAAAGGGAGGAAGACAACAGAGAAGGACATGGAATTGGAAAAAGAGGAGAGGGAGTTGGGATGGGTGGGAGGGAGATACCTATATCACTTTGCTTCTCGATGAGGATAATTCAGCCACTTAAACATGCTTTGGCGCTTTTGTTGTTGACTTCTTTAATTGTAGTGTTTTAAGTACTTCAATGACGAATCTTAGTTGGTACCTTTTGTACTTGCCTTCGTTGGAAATTTTAGAGGATCTTGAAAGTGAAATGTTGTTATACATATTTATAATATACTGAATTCGCTTACTGAAGGCTTCATCGATTACTTTTTCTACAGCAAGCCATCTTCCTTATAACAGAAATGGGTTTAAATTCTTTACTAATGCGGGAGGGCTTGGGAAAGCTGATATCAAAGATATCCTAGAGCGTGCTGCAAACATATACAATGGGTTTACACCAGAATCTCTTAAAGAGGCAGAAAGAAAAGCTTCATCGACTATCAGTAAAGTTGACTACATGACCGTTTATGCATCTGACCTTGTAGCAGCAGTTCGCGAAGCTTCAGGAAACATAGGTACTACGTCCTAGTTACTTCAGCTGAAAAAAGGTCCTCAGCAACTTCGATTCAGAGCACAATTTTTTTATGTCACATTCTTCAAAGGTTCATTCTCGGTTATCTTAATACTAGTGTCATGTAGCGATAGGAGGGACTCTTCCATTAATTAGCATCCATGTCCTTATTTTCCACTTTATCTAGTCTGTACTCTTTAAGGGCAAGTTCCGTTCTCCTTTCTTGTTTCTCTCACTTCACATCGTACTTCTTTCACAAGTGAATTTTATGTGCAAGTTCCTAATTGATTGTATAATACTCTAAACACAATAGATCTTCTAAAGTTTTTTACTTAACAAAAATATGTGTTTTTTTAAGTGGCAATCCCTCATGTTTACTTTTTACTTGCTTTGAGTCATCAGAAAAACCATTGGAAGGATTTCATATAGTTGTGGATGCTGGGAATGGAGCTGGTGGCTTTTTTGCTGTAAGTGTTTTGATGCTATATCTCTTTAAGAATGATCTTGAGGCATGTGTCAAGATTAAATACGTAATTTATTTTATTTGCTTATCATTTCTGTTGTCAGAAATAGTACCCTTCTACCCTTCTTGTTCTATCTGTAGAAGGGAGAGAAGCCATCCCTAGATGATGTGTGTTGAGGAGCTTTAGGACCACATAATTCAGTTGTCTTAATGATCTGACAACCATGCTTAACGGTTAGATTATGTTAATGACATATATGGAGGACACTATTGCTAGCGTCATTGTTTATGAACCAACATTTTATATAAAATGCTAGATGGCCTGTTCTGTTGTGTGTTGTACCTTGTGGATTAATATGTTAGTAACTCAACTGTCTTTGTGGATAACACCATAAGGCATATTGGTGGTTGTTATTGGCTGCATTTACTTTCTAATAACCAACAGACAAATAAACTACTGTTCCCTTCATAAAAAGATATGAACATTTTAAGTCGTACGGGATGCTTCTTAAATTCAAAACTCTGGATTTTGTTACAGATTTAGCATGGTTATTATTAATTCATATTATTTAATATAAATTTTAGTATTTCGTAGTTTTATTTTTGGAGCAGCAGAAACCCCTATTAAGCTTAGAGTTGGAAGGTGGGGTTTTTTTAGATCAAGAGTAAAAAAGAGAGTATCTTTTTGAGGGCCTGCAATTGTTTAAATATCTGGTTAGTATCAGTTATTGTAGATATGATTAGGGAGCTTACCCTTTTTTTCCATCTTATTTGCTTTTCAGGGAAAGGTGCTGGAACCATTAGGTGCTATTACTTCTGGCAGTCAATTTCTAGAACCAGATGGTAATAAACTAAACATCTAAAGAATATTTAGTCAAGTTTTGGTACCAAAGTAACTTAAGGTAACTTGACCAATGCTCAGGTTTATTTCCCAATCATATCCCTAACCCAGAGGACAAGGCAGCAATGAAGGCAATTACCCAAGCTGTGCTTGATAACAAGGCTGATTTAGGGATCATCTTTGACACGGATGTTGATAGGTGATCTTGTACACATTCAAATTTCCTTTATGCAGAAATTTTCTTAGGCATTTTTGCAAATGATGGTTTCTGAAACAGATCTGCTGCTGTGGATTCCACTGGACGTGAGTTTAATCGGAATCGGCTGATTGCTTTGATGTCTGCAATTGTTTTAGAGGAAGTAAGTTTGTAGAACTGTTTGGAAAATTGTTCCTTGCCATGAGTTTGAGCTACTTACCGCTTCTGTTTGATCATACTAGCACCCTGGAACAACTATCGTCACAGACAGTGTTACTTCGGATGGGCTTACAACATTCATCGAGAACAAACTGGGTAAGAAGAGCCTTCATGTTATACATGTGCCTTAAGACTGTAAATGGGTCAGATTTGGATCGGATCAACCAAGGATTTTATTTTATTGGTGATCTAACCAAGTTGGTCATGATCTGATCCATTAAAGGATCACGATTTGATCCATGAGGCAACTAATCCGAGTAAATGGATTATGACCCGTATCTACACTTATTCAGCATATTCTCACAGGGGTGCAGAATAGAAATTTTAAATCACATTGTATGATGCGAACACAGATACATTTGCATCATACAAGTCCTTAAAAGAATAGTATCCAAACTTTTATCATTTACTGTACTTTTACAACACAAAGTATAGTAGAAGACACTTATATTTGTGAAGTTCATAAAATATAAAACATAATACTCCAGCTTTAAAGATGAACATATTTTATATAAAACATAAAACTCCAGCTTTAAAGATGAACATATTTTATATAAAACATAAAACTCCAGCTTTNGATGAACATATTTTATATAAAACATAAAACTCCAGCTTTAAAGATGAACATATTTTATATAAAACATAAAACTCCAGCTTTAAAGATGAACATATGTTAAGTATTTACAGCATAAATTGTATCATACCAACACAAATGCACTCTTCTTGTAAAGTATGTCCCTAAAGTATTAAATCTCAAGTTTCACCATTTAACCCCCCCCCCCCCCCCCTACAATGCAATTTTAAAAAAAATACTAATATGTTTGCTCCATTTATTGGATCAATAAATCATTTTTATTGATTATCGCCTTATCGGTGCCTATAAATGGATCAGATTAGATCTGTAAGATGCCTGTTGGCAGCCCTTAGTGCATATCTTACTGTTTTGATGATGTGCTAATGGTTCCCAAATTCTTGCAGGAGGGAAGCACCATCGGTTTAAACGAGGGTATAAAAATGTCATTGATGAAGCGATTCGTTTGGTAAGACTTGAAATACGGCACCAGTTGTGTGTGTGTGTGAGTTACATTGTTGAAATTATTTTTAAGCTTGATCATTTTTTTGGGTGAGACGCTATAATGGTCTCACTAGAACAATATTAATGCGACCTATATTTACAAACTAGACACAGTTGTACTGAAGCAGGAATTGCTAAACCAGCTAGAATCCATACATCCCACCCTAGGGCTATAAACAGAACAAGAACAGTGTGGATCTAACATACCAGTTGGATATTCAGTTTCATATACATATTCTGCCCATGAAGTTTATCTATAACTCAAACAGTCAAAATAGCTTAATTGTCTGAAGAAGTTTGGGAATGATCGGAAAACACGTCCAAATATCCGATTTCAGTTTACTGCCATGTTATGATGCTAACTTGGCATCTTAAACAGAATTCTATTGGCGAGGAGTCACATTTGGCTATTGAGACCAGCGGCCATGGAGCACTCAAGGAGAATCACTGGCTTGATGATGGTGCATATGTCATGGTAATATTCATCATCATAGATCTAAAATATATGTACTTCACATGTATTCCCTTGCTATTCTCTGTGTATGCTAGTTTGTCAGATGTTGGGCAACAGTGGAAGCAATTTCAGTTTTAAACAGAACTGTAAAGATATTTTTTATCAATAAAAGCAAGTTTGAAGGTGTCTGTGTTTGTATATTCATCATGTTGTCTTGATTCAACTTTATTTGCAGGTCAAGCTATTAAACAAACTTGCATCAGCTAGAGCTTCGGGACAAACTGGTGGTAGCAAAGTTTTGACCGATTTGGTAGAGGAACTGCAGGAACCAGCTGTTGCTGTTGAGCTCAGATTAAAAATAGATCAAAATCATGCAGATCTGAAAGGAGGGTATGTCGAGTTATCTAGTGCATGACTGCATATTCTCCTGAGTTCTAAAAGTATTCAGGTTGTGTATACAGATCTTTTCGTGACTACGGGGAAGCTGTGCTGAATTATTTGGAAAACAAAAGTGAATCAGATCCTAAGCTGCAAAAAGCTCCTGTTAATCATGAAGGGGTAAGTTCTCTAACTTCTGTTCAAGCACAATGACATCAAGATGAACTAGCACACTTCACTAGAAAGACATAAAACAACTGGGATAGAATATTTATGAAGCACGAGAATGGGTGCATCATCGGGTTCGTGGGCTTGTATAAATACCAATATGTAGGTCATGTGGCAGACATATAATGTGCATATGCATACGACTTAATAAAGAAACATAATCAAAGTATCTAAACACATACCAAGATAATGTACAAAAAAAGAGTACGGATGAATAAGGAAAACATAGAACAACGAAAATGAGCCAAACTCCCAAGAAAAATATAAAGCTGCACCCGAGATATTAACAGATGGATGTATACCCATCCACCAAGCAAAATGCATGCAAAGTGGATACAGCACTTTCCATCTTTTGGATCAAGTCCTGTTCTAAAAACGACTAGAAAATGCTTATAGATCATATGGTTTCGGTAATCTGAACAGGTACGAGTTTCTGGCTATGGTGGATGGTTCCTTCTGAGACTTTCGCTTCATGACCCTGTTTTGCCACTCAACATCGAGGTAAATCCAGGGGTTTTCAATTATGTTATTAATTCCTTCAAGATATCCGAGTATGAAAACTAATAAATGTAATGAAAATTTTAGGCACCAAGCAATGAGGATGCAGTAAAACTGGGACTAGCCGTGCTTTCGGCTGCAAACGAATTCTCAGCACTCGATACATCCGCCTTAACCAAATTTGTACAAAAGTAACCAGATTTGATCTGTAAAAACTTTCTTAAAGAAGAGAGTGAGCAAAGCATTTATGGGGATTTCTGTTGTAATAAGCAGTTTCAGGTCTCAAAAAACTCTTTTGGCAAATTGTAAAACAACCAAACAACACTTGAAACTTACGAGAAAGGTGTGGGGAAAAGTTTTGAAGTGATTCAGATCAATGTAAGCATGCATTTAGACTATGTTCAATTGTTAGTTCATGGTCAAAAATTAGTTGGTTAACAAGCTAGTTATTAACTGATAAGCTCGTAATGACTGATAAAAAGTTTAGATGACAATGTAAAGTGACCTAAAATGACATGCACAGTACCTAGTATAGATATTCGTCTACGGCCTTCGGCATCCCCCTCCTTGCGGTTAAGGTAACGACTTTGGGCATGGCCGTTTTGGGGGGGGGGGGGGGGGGGGGGAAGATCCTATCTCAATTTTTATTTTGAGCACGTGTATAATGTGTGCTCCTGCTTTACTTTCATCGTGAATGGCGACGATTTTCTTTTATCGTGAATGGCGAATTGCCAACGCAACAATAGTATTTATAACATTTGTGGATGCACGGCTAACTCCCCATGAGGTAATTGTATGATTTTTCAAAGTAAAAGGATGTGATAATAAGAAACAAAAATAAATAGAAATATAGTTCCAAAAAAGGAACCGAAGGACGATATCCTTCTCCAATTTGAGTTTTACTCGCACCTCGAATAAATCTAAGGGCATATTCGGAGAAATTCTAACCGTCAGTCGGGATGGTTTGTGGGTTCCAAAGGGGTAGAGTGGCTGAACCTAATACGATAGCAATTACAACCACCTTAGTCCTTGCTGGGTTCATTCAGTTTGATTTATCCAAATACAAAACAGCTGGAAGAACTGAGAAGGCATTTGATGGTGTAGTTGTTTCTAACACATCACAAGAAAAAGAAACCCCAAACTTCCATTTATCTTACAATAACAAGAACAAGAACAAGCAAGTAGTATACTATAATAATATACATTTCCTGTATACACAAATAAACACAAACGCTAACGTACATTACTTGCTTAATTCATTGAAATAGGAGCAGTGGTATCAAATTGATCTAACAATTGGTTCGGTTTTTATCATGGAGGAGCTTCATCATGAAGTTGAACTGCATATCAGGTGCAGTCCGGGGCTGCGGCCACTTGGCTCCTTCTGGTATATTGATGCTCTTAAAACCCTGGCTTCGGTATAAGTTGGTTGCACCAGGGTTGTTTAGGTCACAATGCAATGCAATCGACCGACATCCCCAACTTCTGGCTTGAGCTTCCGCTTTTGCTATCAGCCTTTTTGCTATTCCCTTTCGTCTAAATCTTTCTCGAACAGCAACATTCGACACGTATGCAATTCCTTTCCTGCAAACACACCATCATTACTCCCAACATCTTCACATGTGAATTCAACCCAACCCTCTTCTACTTCATTTTCAAGATTTCATATAAAGTTCATATGCAGTTATCAAAATTTCAGAAAACCTATAAAGATTGTCAAATTTGAAGTTGGGAATTGATTTATTGACCTCAAAACTCAACTATATTCTTAGATAGAAAAGTTTAAAGTATATCCAAGAATGAATCACATATCGACTATCCTGATCAAATGAGTCATTTTTAGACTCAGGCATTGGTAAAGATTTACTTAACTTTAGAGGACGAGAACAGTGGTATGCTAATGATCAAAACTATATGAAAGGATATAACCGATAGCAAAGTTTTAAACCTCCGGTGCAAGTTAATATTGGATAAGAAGGATCGACCACTTTGACCAGAAAGTCAACATTGTTTCTAATTATGGAAAGAAGCTCACCTTCTCTGCCGAAGAGGTCCTTTCCTAGGAAGAAAATCAGCCACAGTGTCTAAAGTCAAAATCCCAGCAACATATCCCTTATTCAGACTAATCTTTGCACCAAAACCAGCAATTTTAAGCTCTTCATCACCAATAAAGAAAGTATCGTCTTCAGAAGTGCCAGTGACAGCAACCAAACATGTTCTCCGACAACCACTGGGTACTGACAATCCAAAAACCAGTGCAAGTAGCCTGTCAATCCTCAACACAAAGTCTAATGGGAAGGAGTATTCAGGGAAGAAGGAGCTACAATGCGTTTCTGCAACTTCCCAACAATCCTCAATCCTTGCCTCGCGGACAACAATCTCAGGGGAGACTATCGGAAATATCTCAACCACTTGACTGGCTTTGCAAATCCCTACTGAATCTAGACAAAACACGAGATTTATAAAGATTTCCAATAAGAAACGGGCTAATTGAGATACATGAAGAACTAAAATATTCAATCACTATGGTTGCGTTTCTTGTTGAAGATATCATAGTCTTTGAAATAACAATCGCTCCAACAGAAAGATTAATGAAAGCTAAAGAAGTTAAAGAAGCAGGATTTGATACTTGAGGTCAGATTAATAACGTTTCAACTTCAAGGTTAATATCTCATCCTAAATTTTGTCAAATTTGATACTTTTCTCTTTGGGATTCACATAATCAAAGCAACTCTGTTTTTGGCAAAGTTGTGATCCAAGACTCTCTTTTGCCCATTAGCAGTAATTACAAAAATTGATAGCACTGACTTCAGTTCATAATATTCCTCTATTTTGTCCTTACTGGGCTTTGGGGGAATTTTAGATATTTGATAAATGATCATTTTATTCAACTTGTCCAATGGAAATTGAATCCCGCCAACCCAAAACTAACATAATGTTTGACTAACACATGGTTTAACAGGAAATTTTGACTTATTAGGCAGGTATTCAAAATACCCTTCAATATAATTCAAGAGTCTTATGGATCAAAAACCAGTGCTACTTAGTTCCCATGTAAAATTGCAACTACTTTCTGTCTTTAAGTTAGTATAATTAACCTTTGCTGTTTTTGATTCTATTGATTTTGGTTCAAAATTTCCATTATTATGTAGTTACTTGAACAGGTTTAAGGCATCTGAGGAAGACTTAACAGTCTCATTAAGTTATGTATCCTGGTCAAGTGTCACAATTTACACAGGACAGGGGGGAATAACATTAGAGGTGCAGCACCACCGTCAAAGATCAAACTGTACATCTTTTTTTGGGGGGATGAATCCCTGTTATTATCATCAAGATCAAGCTCTTTACACCCTAACATGAACCTATAGCTCTTTCAATTCAACTTGACTACAAATTATTAAACATCTAACTAAAAATTAAGCATACCCATAATTGTTAATTCTTGAAAAGTTGAAATTCTGACAAAATAATACAAAGTCTGCAGCTATACACAAAATTAAGGCCAACATACATAATACCCACGACAAAACTAAGAACATTAAAAACTTGTGTTAAAAAAAAACATATAGTTTAACCTGATTCTTATTGAATCCAGTTCAGAAATGGGCATGATTTAAGATGCAACCAACATCATATAATTAAAGTCCAAGAGGAATAGATAAAGACACTGAACTGGTTAACAATTAGTAGGAATCTGGACATGAACACGCAGCAATCATACTTCATAATCACAAATATCAGATTTATATTATTCAGCTGTAATCAAAGAGACCCACAAAATGGAACCCCAGATCAAAATACCCAATTAAAATTTGCACCGATATATACATGTATTAATGTATAAATTGATAAAGTACCTGATCTGGAGAGATGATGAGAGATAGACGATTGATGAGCCCTAGAAGGGTAGAAAAGGGGTAGTTTGTGGAAGTTGGGAGAGAGTGTGTTTACTGAGATTCCCAGAGGTATGGTCCACATTTCTTGGATAAAAAGATAGCGATCCCCCCCCCTCTGGCTCGTATTCTTGAACCCTAGTGAGTAATTTTTAGTTGGATCCAAGAAAGAAGAAGATGACAGAAGGAAATTGAGAGCTTAGCTATCAGACAACATTTGTTTATAGTCTCATCGTTCACTCTGTGTTCTGGCAATTTGTGGGTAATCTTGTTTTCCTCTGGTCAGGGCCATTGGCATAAACATGAAGGTCGGGTCGGGTTCTTTGACCCTTCCCACTTTATGTTCCCAATGTATATATGGGTTGGTTTATTTGTAAATCATATGTTATTTGATGTCAATTATGTGAACAATCTTTAACTAAAACATCGATATTTTTGTAATAATAATATAATGAATGTATGCCATGCCGTGATAAATACTAGTGAATATGGTAAAATTAAAGATCGTGAGCTTTTATTATGCATCAATTTCAATTATTGAGAATCTTTCTTTCATCGTTTTGAAACTGAAATCAATCACATCCTACTTGCTCACTTATGAAAGGTTTATTAGTTTACCAATGGATATTTATATGATAAGTAACAGAAGTCGGTAATTATGAAAAAAAATTGTTCATAAACCTTTGACCGATTATTTGTGTATTAATGTCTCTGGTTCACGTATGAACATCATGTGAACTAGGTTCACTGATGAACATATCATCCAAAACATCATAAATAAAGACATTATCCAAATCAATATGTTGAATGATATCGTATTTATTTTGATTATCCATCATTCAAATTAATTTGAACATAATCATTAAGAATTTTTGATATAGTTATCATCCCCAAAAAACACAAACCCTCCTCACAATGTTTTTCGGGTTTCTTCCTTGCATTGCTTTTTGTTTTAAATAATATGTTGTCTTAAAAAACATATTTTTATTACATCAAATATAATATTCAAAATTTAAATGTTAAATAAATCGTAATTAATTAATTGGAAGAATCGTTAATCCCCCAAAACACACCACCACAAAGAGAGAGAGGAGAGGACTCCCCAGAACGAAATTGAGGGATTCCTCCTCTTCTTCCTGGTCGGTTAGTTGACTCACTGAACTGCAAGCAAATAAGATTAGGGTTTTCTAGGGTTTTATCTTCAATCCATCTGATGTTATTTCACTTTCACTTCAACCAATGTCACTTTTCATCAGGTGGTGTTTCTTTTAGGGTTTTCATCAATCCAAGACGCACACCAGCAGCAGTTGTTGGTAAATAACATTAGTAATTTAGAAAGAAAAAAACGAAAAATGTCACCGGCCGCGATTACCGGAGCGTCTAGTGCTCCTCTGAAGAACGGAATTCCTCCTAAAGAACTCCTCGATGATCTCTGCAGGTATTTGCATAATATCACTCATTATTATATCTATCTATCTATGTAGTTATACGTAAGTTATATCAATGTAGTTGTATGTATATTCTGTGTGCGCTTTCTCTCGCTCGGGCGTCTCCATATTCGTCTATATATATAGTTGCATGTGTGTGTATACGTATTCATGTATATATGTAGTCATCTTCTGTGTTTCATTGGAAGAGGCTGGGTTGCTGCTGTTTCCTTGTACATTTGTTGTTTTTTAAATTGCAGTTTGTACAAGTACTAATATTCAAATTTGCAAGAATAGAGGCGTAGATGAAGTCATTGTGATTACATTTCCAAGTATGATTTCCTTGCTTGGCTCTTTCTGGTGATTCTGAAATAAACTATATATTATAATGAAATAAGGGCTATTGGATAGGCCAGGGTTATTATAGTTGAAGATTTGGTATTCTGAATTTGTTGATGGATTGAGTTGGCATGAAAAGACATGGTTAGTGATACTCCAATTGTTTGTGTTAAATGACCCAAGAACCCCATGTAACTGCACCACTTCTCATATGAAGTGCTCATATTTCCTTAAGCGATCAATGATGACGAAGATCACGTTTCCCCCTTCCCCCGGGGAAACTGTGGAAGCCCCTCGATATAGTCCCTCATGCACTTCTCCATACTTTATTCTGCAATTTCAGGGGTTGCACATCACGACTTGCTACCATGTATTCCACATCTTTTTTCACACCAACCCAACACATTTCTCCTGCCAACTGTATGTTTTGAGGACTCTGAGTGACCTTTGATTGCACTACCATGATTCTTGGTCAGAGGCAATTTTTTGGCATAACTAGTCGTTGTCTGTCCACATAACACCCCTCTTGTCCCTCGTCCTTCTTATAGTAAGGTCAATTGAAATTTTTTAATCTGCCTCTGCATCCAAAAACCATGAAACCAATAACGTGCTAAGAGAAACTTAAGGTTATGCTGGTCTATTCGGACTTTAAGTCAATCTTGGAGGAAGTTTTTGGTTTGTGCAATTCATCAAGGTGCTCAATGATGATGGTAATTAGAAACTTGCCGGGCACGGTTTTCTTATTAAAGGCCCGGTGTGAAATAGTTCACATAGAATCACCAGCTACCATCTTTTTTCTTTACTATTAAGTTCACACTTGATAAAATAACATATCTGCTTATTCATGGACAATTTATCTTCCTAATCATATTTATATAGAATACAGTAATGAATGGGAAGATCGAAAAGTTGGAAGAAGAAAAGATTTTTTGCTTAGACGCATGGAATTGGCTAAGCATTTTGAATGGTTACCATGAATATTTCTTAATTCTTTTTTGAAAGAACGTAAATGTAACTCGCTGTTTAAACAAATGAATATTCAATTCAAATTAATAAAAAATTTGGGCGTCAATTGACCACGAACGAAGAAAATGGCATAATTGCCTTATTCATGGCAAATTTATTCTCCTAATCATATTTGTATAGAATACAGTAACGAAGGAAATGACATAATTGCCTTATTCATGGCTAACCTTCCCTATAATCACGCCTGGAGCATGCAATGATGAGCTTGGCTCTTGTACAGGCCTATCAATGCAACTTCTTAATCTCTAATCAGTGTATAAAGCAGACATGTTCAAGTAATTTTCAAAGCATGAACACAGAATTGTGATTAATCATTGAAACTCAGTGTTCCATCTGTTATTTGTTCTTCTAAACAGCTTTTCAACAGTTATTTTTATGTTTAGGCGATCTTTAGTGGAGCCTAGTGTTAGACCTGGACCTGGTAAAGTAGAGAGAACATGTTCTGATGCTCAAGCAAGAAATGTTCAATAAATTTGGAGGTTACTGATTAGTATTCGAAGATGATACATTTTTATAATATGACTTCAATGGCTATTAGTCTATTACCATTGATATTTGATATTGTAGCTGTCAGATGCTACATGAATTTGTTTGAGATTTTAATATTTGAGCGTTTTTCAGACATCTGGTTACTCTACTTTGCATGGTACATTCATTTTGGAGTCACACTGATAATGTATATCTTCTTTGGCTTAGTTCACGTTTCTTTTCTTATCTCTTGTGTTTGTAGTATTTTACCACGGATTTTAATAGTGGGTTTTCCCCAAATTGCAGTCGATTTGTTCTGAATGTGCCAGAGGAGGATCAGCAGTCATTTGAGAGGATTTTATTTCTTGTGGAGTATGCACATTGGTTCTATGAGGACAATTCCGTAGAAAAGAATCCGTCATTGAAATCATTTACTCTGAAGGAATTTACGTCATTAAGTATCCTTTGCTGCTAAAGTGCTAATTGTTTCGTTTTACTTATAATTTAGAATATTAAGGCATATGATAAAGTTTATTTGGATGCTTTTTATGGATTTTTTGCATACGTCTTTCTGTCCCAACATCCATATATTCATTTTTCCTTTAAAAGGTTTGTAAATAACATCCAGGACTTTTGGGATTCACCCTGTTCTTGCTTTTAAGCTGTATTATGGCATTTATGTCAATTCAAGGCATAATTGGAGTTGCTTCAATTGAAAAATCTTATGTTGTGAGCTCTTCTACGGAATTTGTGGACAGGAGGAATTCTTCTCTCTTCCTTTGTTATACTGGCTTACATATTCTGTCATATTATATATTTTTGGCCATTGCTTGCCTTCCTTAAGCTATTACAGTGTTTAACAGTTGTGATGTCTTGAAGCCTTATGTTCCCCATATAGATGACATATTTAAAGATTTCACATCATACAAGGTCCGAGTTCCTGTCACTGGGGCAATTATTTTGGATCAAACATATGAAAGGGTAATGTTACTTCTGATCTAATTGTGCAAATAGTATGGTCCTTTCAGATGAAATTCACAATTTTTTTATGTGTGATGCTGCTCAATGCATGTTTTGTCTTCTATGAATCGAATCTATGAAATTTCTTCTTGAGGTGAACAAGAGTAGGCAAGCTAGTTCCTATCAAATTTTTTCTCTTGTTTAGTCTTTGCGATTCATGATTCATAATTAGGGATATGAAGCAATTTGGAGCTACATCTATGATAGATTAAAATGCAAACTATGAAAGTTAATGTAAGAAACAAAGTTCATGTGCAAAATGTTTTGATATACAGGCATTCTGTCCTGTGTATAATGTAATGCTTCTTAGTAAAGTTTACTTGATAATATGTGTAGGCAGATGGCATATCCTTGTTTATATGCGATTGCTGATACAAGTCAATAAAATGTTGGGTCCATGTTCTGTCTTGCTTCTTCCATTTATTTGTGAGATGAGTCTGGGAATTCTTAATATTTCAGTTGATGGTGATTTAAGCTTGGATTGCATTTAAGAATGTCTTTAGACCAAGGACCTTGGATATATTCTTCTTTTCATTAGGCCTTTATCATGGAGCATGGTTAAAAGGCTTAAGAAACAAGGGTTTCCCACTCCTTGAATATTATGGTCTAGTATAAGATGGATATTCTTCCAAACTTAAAGAAAATGAATATTTTATTTGTCTAAAGGAGATGACGATAAATGTTGTATGTGATGCTATCGTGGTAAATGTTTCCACATGCTATATTAAAGTATGATCTTCTCTGTTCTTTTTTTTCTTTTGAGTATCTCATGTTTTAGATCCTTGATATCCTTTATGTATGCAGTGTGTACTTGTGAAAGGGTGGAAGGGAACAAGCTGGAGTTTTCCAAGAGGGAAAAAGAACAAAGACGAGGAAGACCATACTTGTGCTATCAGAGAAGTAAGTGTTACTGTTTTATGTAGTATTAAATGTTCAATCTTTTATGAATTCATCTGGTCTCTCTTTCCAAATCTGATTTAGGTCAAGGCAACCAGGACTCTTATCTTTATTGCCTAATAGGAACAAGCTTCATACTCTTATCGGCTTGATTTTGGTGACCATTTATTCGTTCTGTTCTGGTGTTTTATGAATGGTTGAAGGCTTATGAGTTAATTTTCCACATCTTATAGGTTTCTTTCATATGGTGTTGACAGTGTATTTAAGATTCGGAGGTCCTGTCCACTGTATCATCTGTCTCTTAAAATATTTGCTTCAAATCTGGAACATCACCAACTAGTTTTAGCATCACCTTTTGAAATTATTAATGAAATTGGCTGTCGTGTTAAACTTCACTTGCATATTGGTGTGCATGTGCTGATATGATTGCTAACTACTTTTCTGTCTGCAGGTTCTGGAAGAAACAGGATTTGATGTTTCAAAGCTTATTAACAAAGACGAGTATATCGAAATGATATTTGGCCCACAGAGGGTACGGCTCTACATAGTTGGAGGCGTGAAAGATGATACAGAATTTGCCCCTCGGACCAAAAAGGAGATCAGTGTATGCGACTCTCTTACTGTGTAAATTGTAATGTATGTTTGTATTATCATACCCCCCCCCCCCCAAAAAAAAGGAGAAAGAATCATAATATCAGAAAATGCTCAACTTCATGAGTTTTTAACGCATTTCTTGCAACGACCAATTACGACACAGTATCTTTTCTCTAAACTTGATTCATGTTATTTCCTTGGGTATTTCACATGGGTCCCTTTGATTTTTCATTGCTTTACATGTTGGTTGAAGTCATCATCGCAAAGCGTACCCAAAGTTGATAAAGTTCATTTTTGAACATTTCAGCGGAACTTTTGTTTACCGAACGTCCTTAAGACCCGAGATGCAAACCAGTAGGTATTAGGTTTTATCAAACCACTGGTTCAAGAAGCTTCCTCTGTAATTTATTTTTTCTCAAGATGCAGACCAGTAGCATCTTCTGGATCTGCAAGGCAAGCATTTGTCAATGGGGGTGGGATCAACAATGGCAACCAACTGGCCATGTCCTAGTTTAGAAATGTTATTGTTTGTCCAAGTAGTTTAGTTTAATAATTCCTGTTGTTAGCTGTAACCCCTAAAAAAGACGACCCCGTTTCTTCATTGAGTTGGGTCAAAACTGTTGATGAACAGTAAGTTTCCATGGCAGGACAAAACCAAGGGAAAAAACTGAGCCAACTCCTTTGGTATATTTAACTCACTCGGATCTCACTCACCGTTTCCCTCACTACTTTTGGTCTGGACTTGATTTCTACATTGTTTCCTTCATTTTTGTGATCCTATCATTTCTGCTTAAGTTGAAAATCGTAACTCTCTTATGATTTTATTTCCAAAACCTCTAGATTTCAAGGTGTTTCTCAAGATTACCAAGTTCTATTACGCCTTGCCTAGTATCATTCATCAACACCTTATATCAACTTGTATGTCCTTAGCTTGTCCACAGACAAGCAAGTCTAAGGAATTGATATGGAGTCTTGGCGTAAGCCTACTGAATAGGTCATAGGCAACTGTGTTCAAGCTGATGTCACCTTTGTTGTGTAACAGAGAAGATAAAGAAAGGACACTTCAACTGGTAATCAATGGGATTTTCGTTATTTGAGGTCAGGACCTTGTGGTGTTTGTTTGAAGGACAAAATATTCAACAGAAGAAGGCCTGATAAAATCACAATGTCACCCGATAGACATGAAATCAAACGACCATATGGGAAATTTAAAACTACAAGGGCTGTTTTATGAAATGTTTCTACTGACTCGAATGAGCAATACATACATACATACATACATTTATACATATATATATATATATATATATATATCTTATTTGTGAGATACATACATTTATATGTACATATATATAGGGAGGGAGGATCAAACGGGAACGATACCTATTCAAAAGAACACGAAAACGGGCGAATCACATGTGATTTTACACTAACATCACATGTGGTTCAGGCGACCTTTCCCGGCGACCTCAAGACACAGCCACAAGTCGTCCGGACACTTTTTTTACCATTAATGTAAAATCACATGTGATTTGCCCATTTTCCTGTTCTTTTAAATAGGTACCGTTCTCGTTTGATCCTGCCTCTCTCTCTCTCTCTCTCTCTCTCTCTCTATATATATATATATATATATTTCTTATCTGTGAGATGTCATAACCCAAGTTAGGCCTGTCTTTTGCTTTGACTACTACAGTTGGCATAACATTCACTGATCAGGATAGTGTTTACTTGCTCCATCCTCTCTTTGCATGTGCATTCATATTTTTAGGTCATGGGGATTGAATTATGTGATGCTAAGGCAGTGGAGTTGCGATTTGGCTCGACTCAATTTGATTAAAGTGTAGATAAAAGTAGGAGAGGTACATTGTCAATTTTATAATGCACAAAAGTATACTCATCTCAGTTTAGAACTCACGAAGAAGTAAGATAATTTAGATGGCAATTTAATCACCATTATGATCTCAAAACAGATACTACAGGTTGTTGATACCAACAGTTATGTTGTGGTACCATCTTTGATATCTATTCTTGATTGCAGGAAATTGCATGGCAGCGGCTTGATGAACTTCAACCAGTAAATGGAGATGTAATATCACATAGTGTAACTGGTCTTAAGCTGTACATGGTTGCTCCATTTTTGAAGTAAGACCACTATTATACACTGAGATTTCAAATTGTTTTTTCTTTGTTTTGTGATATCCATTTCTTGCCATATGAAAGTATTAATGCATCGAGAAATGGCTTCCTCAGATCCTTGAGATCATGGTGTTCCTTGCATCAGCCCCCAATATCGCCAAAACTAGATGCACCTGCAAGAGGTTTGCTATCCCTCTCCTTCCTCGTCTTGTATTATTGATTCTCAGAGAATATGATAATCTTATGAATTTCTATGAGGATGAATGAGAATATGTTCTATCCAATTTAATTCTTTTAAGGATAGTCTTTTAGTTTGAAAATTGTACAGTATAGGCTACACATACAGTTTGGACATCCTTGAGAATATATCTTCATTTTTTGGTGAAGGGAATATTGTCACAGAATCTGGTAGATTGACTTAAGAGTAAACTTCCTTTTTGGTTCTTGTCCTTTTTTGATTTTCTTGGTTTTAGTTCTTATAATTTATTTAATAGAAGTTCGCCATAGAAGTTTCTGATTTTGCTTGATTTTGGTCCCTCTCACTAAAGGCTGCTAAAAAAATCCATGAAATGGGTAGCTTGTATTAAATAAATTCTAGGGACTAAAACCAAGAAAATTAAAAAATACAGGGACCAAAAATGAAGTTTACTCTTAACTTAACAAGTAGAAAGTGGGCCAGTTGAGATGTAGCGATGTGGATGAAACTTCGACAGCTGTTCGTCATCTTTTCCTTTTTCTGGTTCTTTTGTTCATGTAAAATTATACATCCACATTAAGTCTATAATAACCAACTCATGTAGATAATATATAGAAATTGATTAGGATGCCTAACAAACCTGATAAGTGACTATAAAAAGATGCCTTAGCGAATGGGTTCTTGTCAACCTTAGTATCTGGATCTATAGAAATGAAAGCCTTATTATACTAGAACTTTTATTTTGAGTTTTTATATGTACATTGACCATTTGAGCCCCCAACCCCCTAAATGGACTTTTTCTAGAGTTGAACCATAGCGAATCATAAGGTACTTATTAGCATGAAGTCAATGGTATTCTATTAAGGCGAAGGATCGTGTGAGAAAGGAGAGTTAAGGTGAGAAGCGTGAGAAGAGATCTGGACTCTTGATCACCTTTAATCTCAAACCCACCCATGAATTGCGCTTGATACGGGATTCATCCGGTGCATCTCATCCTAATGTGCATCTAAGGGTGGAGATTTCTTCTTACGCTTCTCACCTTAACACTCTCTCTCTCTTACCGGAACCCAACCCTTCTATTAATATAATAAATAATAATTAACAATTTTCTCTCGGCATGCTAATTTATAGGAGTAATGATCATTTTTGTTGTTTGTTTGGTTCTTTTCCAATTTAAATGAGCAAAATCAAATGGAATTATAAGTACTGCAACAACTACATATTATTTGGCCTAAATTGCATAGAAACATTTGTTGAAAGATACTATTTCCTACATGTTATACAAAACATGTCTATAAACTGATACGAGTATTTCTTAAACCCACATGGATGATGGATCCCACAGATTTATATTTTAAAAGGAGCTAGTCATAATCTGCAGAACTTTCTCTCTTCATCCCAAATACGTGCAACGTTTTCCATTTTGGGTTGTCCAAAAATATGAAACCTTTACTATTTCTGGTAAGTTTTCAAGCCTAATTTACTTCTTTTTGCCAAGTAATAATAAATAGTTGTAATAAATACATTTGATTTGGGTCCAGAAGTAGCCTCTTATTTCCACCTATTAAAGGGTATTTTAAGGGGATTGCTATATGCACCCCTATTAAGGTCAGATCATGCATTGAAAATGTGTGCGGGCAGAAAATTAATAGATAAAGGGTGCATTTATCCCCCTCTATTTTAAAGTGAAAGTCTGATTCTTTCGGTTATCTGGTTTAATCGAGTAAAATTAGCGAGTGAATGATTTCTTTTTCTTTTTGAAATGTTGTTGGTGAAGGCATTAGCGTGTGGAAAGCGAAAGGAAGCTCTCCAGGTCCAGGGATGACGGAGACTCCTTCAAACAAAAGCAAAGTGAAAGGTCCAGGTCCTGGACGAAGCTTCAGAAGCTTTCAGTTCAACACTCGTCCCATATTACAGGCAATGGAAACTGCATTCTCATCTTCATAAACACTTGCATGCATATAAACTGTAAATTGCAACTCTTATCATTTGAGGCTTCAAGATGTATAGAATTAGTCCTTCCTTCTTCTCATGAGTGAAGAAGTTATGGGATCTACTTTGCTTTTGCTGGAAAGTTTTCAGGTATTCTTTCAAGTCTTTCTTTACTTTGGTAATAATATTAATCTTATCAGATTTGTGATTTAATTAAACATGTCTTCTTCAGCTTCCCTAATTGGTTACGACCGAGAGCTGTTTACTGAAAACTTATCTTGATAAGTGCTAAACCAGTTGAGTTCAATTATCCACAGGGTGCACATGACAAGGATTGAGAATTTTACCCAGTAAGATGGAAAACAATGATTAAGAGTTTTACCTAGTAAGTGAAAGTGATGACTCTAACTTGGTAAGCGCTAACTCGGTTATAAATGCTTACAATCAATCCATTTTGATGGACAGCTATGTTATCCCGAGAGCCAATTCTAATCATTTTATGTGTAGATAAAACATTGTTCAAATTTTTAGTTAACCTAAGGACAATTTTGCCTTTATTAAAAAAAGTTATCTATTTTATCAATCCTTAAAAATATTTGTACATTAATTATAGATAGATTTGAAAATTTAGCTATCAATTTTTTGAATTAAACACTTAATAGAAGCATAAACATTTATTTTGTGATAGAGCGAGTAAAACATAACGGTGTCGGACAAGCAGAGTCCCTTTTTCATTCACATTTTCTTTTTTTGACAAGAATGGATGATTTGCAAATTGCAACCAAAAAGAAGCGTAAAAGTCAAGTCCTTCATGGCAAACGCATGGAAAACAAAAAGACCCGATTGATTGATATCTGACTATAATAATAACGGCTAAGGTTTGTTCCTTTAGAGACGCGAGTCCAAGAGAAGTTGTTGATAAATCCGAGTGCCAAATTACCAAATCGTAAAATTATACAACAATTTCGTGTTCAGATTCTACCTACACTCCGGATCACTGCAACATGCCCTTGTTTCAGAAAAAAACCCATCTTCCCTTGTCCAGACAACCAAACCTACTACAATAAACCCCAACCAAAAATACGACACCCGCAAGAGGGCTCGTCTCTCGTTCTTCCCTGAACACATATATTATATAGAGAGAAAGAAAGCAAGATTTATAGAGATTTTGCATATCAAATCTGTAGCTCCTTCAACTTCTCTTCCACTTTGGCTTCTTCAAATTTACCCTCTTCCGTTGGTGTCGACAATCCAGCAACAGGAACTGGTACAGGCTTTGAATCTTCAGGAACTGCATGCCCTTTCTCTTCTGTTGGTGGTATCGAGTTGGTGGGCACCGGCTTGATGGGGGATTTAGGGATGTTGGGAGCTGAATAAACTGGCACTGCGTGTCTTATAGTAACAGGAGGCGCTACACCACACATGAACTGTGGAGGAAGCTGATTTGGCTGTGCTATACCCATATGTGGTGGAATAGGAAGTGGAGGAGCAGAGAAAACAGGGATTGCATTACGTATGGTGACTGGCGGTGCAATCCCATGATGATGAGCCCTGAAGTGCCGAACAGGGATATAGGGTGCAGCTCCAACTGCAGGGAACTTGTGGGGTCGAGGGGTTTCTGCTGATTGAGAGGGGGTTTCGTTTATTTTGAATGGGGGTTTTTGTGGAGCTGATTTTTGTATCTCATTTCTGTTGTTTTGAGGTGTTTTGTTGTGAGCTTCGTCGTTATCTAACAATGTGGTGAGATGAGGCCTACTTCGAGGGGTTGTTTTGGGGCATATCAATGGAAGTATTTTTGATGTTGTGGAAGGAGTTGACTGTGCATTATGTGGTTTAGGATTCGGTGCTGGAAACTGGATAGGAAATGGTATATTCGACATCCTTGCTTTTAATCTGAATTTCTGTAAAGCACGAGCAACAATCACATGCTCCTGCTCCTCCAGGATCCCTTTTTGCAATGACAAATTTTCTGTTTGTTGAGTCACTGAACAGACAAAAAGCAAGTCATTTGTGTCTACAGTTCATGTGAAGAGATGATATAATTTAGAAATTGACCATAAGGGATTGACATGAAAATCAAATATGATATGGTCGCTCTCCAGTTCTAATTTTTACCACGATAAAGATGTAGGTGACACATGCAGTGGGCTTGGGATTATAGTCCATGGTCCATGGGTCAGAAATGGGGTTACAACACATCCACATAACTATGAATTCTTCTTCCCCCACCCCTTAAAAAACGAACAAATCCCATGTGATATAGGTTCTGTATATGTTGCAACCTAAACATGGAACTGGGAAACAGCCTTACCACCCATGTCGATTATTCATGTTTCCTCCATTATTACAGCACAGCTGATTAAGTTATGTTTGATTGCACTGTGGTACCATAAATACGTAAGTAATCTCAAGTTAAAGAGTTCTACGCCAAGCCTGCCCGACTTCCCAATTCTCGATTATATTCAGCATTTACTATATATTAGACACTGGTTTTTTGGCCGCCTCTTGGATCAGGTTTTGAAGTTGTCAGCACTCAATGATAACACTCACCATCTAACCAGAGGTTTTATCTAGCAATTGTATACCAGATGTGCTATTGTTTGCAATGAGAAAACTTGAGCAAGGAATTTTTGTTTATTTAGGTTGGGCTCTGGAATCAAGCACATCTATTAAACATCTGCAGATATTCTAACCCAGCTTAGGATATCTGTCAAGAGAACCCACATACTAAAAAGATTTAAGAGGTCCTGCACCTAATTCTTTATTGGTATCATATGTAGATTACTTGCTCAAAAAGATTGGGTTTTTTTCATATTGGCAAGTTCTCAAGATGCAGGATTTGGAAGACATTCAAAGACCAACCGCACAACAATATAAACCCAAATTATGACTATAACCAGATATCAAAAGAAAATGACATCACTTACAAAGTTTCAGAGACGACCAAGCTGACATGGCTGCATTCTTTTCAGCTTGCTTCTTATTCTTGGCTTGTTCACCTGTAAATGTACAGCCAGCCAATTCTACAGTGCAGGTGAAGACTGGCAAATGCAAAAGGCCCGACCTAAAAGTTGTATATGTTGGTAATGATGCCCCTACTCTTTGAGAAACCTCCTGCAAAAGGTTCTTGTACACCCCTGTCTCGTCCTGTCCATCCCAAAATTTAGCTGCATAAGTAGAACTCTTAAGAAAGTTCTGTGTGAAATAGAAGTTTTATTACGGTTATGGATCATGTCAAGAGGACTGATGCGTGAAGGCATCACTCAGGGTTCATTTAGTGATATGTTTCTTCAGTGAGTCTGAATAGTCAAAAAATCGGCAAAGGTATATATAGAAGATAACAAGGTTTTAAAGTGGCCTATTATAATGAGATTATGTTGACAATATACTTGATCCTCATCCATAATAAAGATATACTCATATTATTAAATCTACACATGCAGATGTACTTTGGATGAATTTCACAACTTTCAAGTCAGTAATATTGAGCATGTTGCCATGTTTATGGACTCATATTAACTGCACATGTCTTAACGACGGGGGACAATACTGTACTTAAATTTTAATTTCACCAAATCATTTCTAGGCGACCACACTTGAATGTTAGAAGCAACTAACTCCAGCAACAGCAATATGATAAGTGCTCTGTCCGAAAGAAAAAGTTATGTCTACTTACGGATTAAACCTCTGATATACAATGAGCATGAATAAAAAAAAAATCTAAATTGCTACTTGTTATCGATTTTTCCTCATCTCATGCATACTTAAAAGGCTATCCTAACCCTAGGCCACTGCCTCTCTAATTAGGCAACTGCGGATGTCATCATTCAAGCACAAAAACAGAAGGGTAAGTTGACGGTTTTTTAATAAAAAAGGATTAGAAGCCATATAACCATATTCAGTCTTCCTCCTATTCCGTACTCCAATTAACTTGCGTTGAAATCCCAATTAGCACCCCTACATTAAGTTAGAATTGCCTTGTTTCTTGATTAACATGAAAGTCTTTCCTGCATCACTCATTCACACTCCTGACTCCCCCAGCCCCAAATCGGGACCTAGTCTTCAACAACATATTGGTGTATAAAACTTGAACCAATCTGTGTACAAGAGAACAAGAGAATATCGATTCTAAACCATGCATCCATATACATATCTCGTTCATTGCAACAAACCATTGAATACAATCTCTCCATTCCCCACTTTATACAAAAAACCAGCTAACGCAAATTTCTGTCTGTCCTCACAATGGCCTCGGTAACAACCATAATTCCATGATTGCCAAGATCGTCCACCTGATGAAACCTGAACCTAAACCACTCAAGTCCATTTTTCATCTAAACCTGCAAATTGAGCTTATGAATTGAAATTATTTAAAAATAACGATAATAGAACACACTTTCCTTTTTGTTCACTCGTTAACTTTTTATAATATTTGTTAAATTGCGCTAATAATTGAATTAACCAGACCTACTAGCTTAAGCTAACGTTCATCTGAAAACATTGATTAAGAAAAAAAAAAGTTAAAATGCACATCTCAAAAAGGTCAAAACCTACAAACCCTAGAAAGAGAGAAAAAAAGACTCACCAGTATCCGAGCAGCCAGAGAATTAGACGGACCACGGCTAGCGAGTGCATTTAAAGCCACCTCAGCGGCCGAATGCTCCGCCTGCCTCAGCGTCGTGCAGTAGTTAGGGCTCTCATACGTCTCGCCATTAAAGTTAACTGTAGCCTTGAACCGCGGCGCGTGATCTGGACCTTCTCTTATGCTTATGTACGACGGCAAATTAAAGCAGCTCCGCTGCGCCAGCTCCTGCAGCTGGTTCTTATACATCTCTCCCAATCTCAAATCAATCAAGAATAAACCTCCAAAACTCCGGTCCAATTAGCTCAGATCAAAGCGCTGATCCATAATGCCGATCATCGATTTCGATTCCGACTTTCTCCGATCGCAATCGAAGGTCTTCTAGGGTTTTGATTTGGTTAACGACGCGTGTATATACATATATCGGTATGCATATATGCCTTCGAGATATAGATATAGAGAGAGAAAGTCTAGAGAGAGATTGTGCAACTTAGATAACAACGAACTAATGAGAGAGAGAGAAAGTACGGTATGTAGCTAAGTTTTATTTAGGAAGTGGTCTCCCTCATGATAAGATATGTACCCGACTCATCTTTTGACGTTAGATTTATAACCCTTCAGGATTGATGCATGTGATTTGAGGGCTTAATTTTAGTTATGGTGAGGGGTCATGTGTTGGATGTTTCCCCCCCTGGTTATTTTTGTAAATAAATACCCTCTCTTGTATTTTGGTTGTCCCATGTAAATACAAAATGTCTTGTAAAAGTTCTTTTCTTTTGTCAAATTATATATTTATCAATTAATAATAATAATAAAATATTTGTTGGATTTATTTAAAAAAAATATTTGTTAGAGAAAAGTTTCCGGTACAGATATACTGAAAGCTCATCTGAAAATCTGGGTTCAAATTCGACTAGGGACGGACCCAAAAATGTTTTCAAATGATGGCATCATTTAATTATAAGAAAAAAATATACGAAAAAAATTCAAACGGTGGCATCGTTTGACTGTAAGAAACAAATATACGGTTTTTATCAAACGGTGACATCATTTAAGACAGTAACAAAATTCAAACTTGGGTCTGAGATGGAATAAAAATTTTGCAAACCAACCATACTAAATAAAACGTGTTCTCATTGTAGTTTCAAAATACATATGGTGGCACACAACAAATTAATACGGTTGCATCTTTCACGAACCTAATTTTTTTTACCCTTTGATGAATGAATAATACGGTGGCATGTGCCACCATATGCACCACTATAAGTCCGTCCCTGAATTCGACCCCGTTCATCCTACCATAGAAACATCACGATTTACCCTTCTCGTGATGATCTTGTGACCATTACAGTGGAGAAGGTGTGAGAAACAGCGCAAATCCTTAGTTTCGGAACTTATAATTACGGGGATGTTGATACAAAAGAATTCGTAATTTTTCTTTTTGTAGTTTTGGCACGTAATGCTCGTGTGATTATGAAGTACACCCACAAATCCGGATACCTATAAATATTAGCTTGTGCAACTTATTAAAATTAAACATAACCAAATGTATCATGCATGTCTTATTTGTGGACTCACCTAACAGAAGTATCAACTATAAAGAAGTACGATAAAATAACGTTGAGGATGAGAAGTCCATATCAAAGCAAAGGTAAAATTCATTTGTCTCTTACAATTAAAAAACATGCTTATTCCATGAATGAAAAGATCCTCTTGAACAAAAAACCTTATTGATTTATATAGATAGATTAATTCATACAGACAATTTTATTCATAAATGACTTAATGAAAACCAACCAACAACTATTTTCTTATGTTTAAGAGTGAGTTATATTTCTGGTCCCTCATCTAGGCTGTTTTTTGGTTTTCGTCTCTACAATTTGTAAATTTCATTATTGGTCCATTTTTCGGTTCTGAAACCAAATTAGTCCCTCCTCCTAACACTGATAGAATTGGCTCTGTTAAATCAGTCATGTGTCCCTCGTGCCAGAGGCATTTCCTCTTTTTACCCATCTTTTTCTTCTCCACCACTTTCTTACTCAATTAAATAACTCTAATTTATGTAAACCAATATTTAAACAAAATTCAAGTCACATTCAATCACAAAATCCAAACACAATCAATATTTTAAGAACTCAAAACCTTATATAAAAAACTAAATTCAAATAAAAACAAAATTGCCTAAATCCAAGTAAAGAAAAACCCACTTGGATCTATCTCTCGATTACAAAATATGGATCTCAATCCACAAATTATGAAGGGCACTTGTGTTCTTACGTAAACTTGACTTGAGGAATCTGGTCAAACCACTATCAACCATACTTGAATCTAACGAAAATAAAGAGTTCATTGAACCCCTAAAAATGGATGGGAGGCGATTCTATAGAGAAAGGAGTGTGGTAGATTATTTGGCCACTGGTGCTGGTTTTGATATGGTACAATGGACTGGAGGGTGATGACGGCTTCAAGATTTGCAGGTTTAAGATATGGGCGACTTAGTAAAGGCAATTGCAAAGATGTTAATGGCAAGACTAATTTTAGCTTCCGAAACATGAAAAGCGTACCAAAAGTATACTTTATGAACTGTAAGGACGAAAACCAAAAAACAGTCATAGACAAAGGACCAAAAATATAATTCATTAGATGTTTAATTTACTCTTAATTAAGAGTTTTTAATTATCTTTCATTGTTCTTGAAATTTAAATTTTAATATTTATTTACAAGTAGATGCGTTTTAATATTCCGTCTACATTAAATTTCATTAATGTCAATTAATTTTTGATTAATTATAAAATTGAAATATATTTATGTTATATTTCTCGTTTTCTTTTTCCATACAATAAATGGAGGGGGTGAATAAAGTGTGGTAGTCCCATCCAAATTCAATGGCCCTAATTTAATTTGTATACTAAAAAAATATTTATTAAAAAAATATTTTTATTAAAAAGTTATAATTATTAAAATACAAAATTTGCTATTTTTTTACTAAAATATTGTATTTATTTTATATAATTAATCTCAAATATATTTTAAAAATAATTATTACTATAATAATTAATTAATAAATTGAAAAATATCATAATATTATGAATTTAATCTAATGCAATAAACTTAGAGTTTACATCTCATTGATGCTTAGAATACTTTTTGGTCAAACATGAGTTTGGTCAACATAATCAAAACTCAACCAACACTTGTGGTTTTAATAACCCATATCATTAATTAACCCAAAAAATGAGTTCAACTTTGGGAAATAATTAAATCCCAAATTTTTAAAATTTTATATAATAAAAATATTATTATTATTAAAAATATAAATGTTTTAATGGTGAAAGTTACACATTAATGAAAGCCAACTACTATGATGTCTCCTAATTAATTTGGTTTTAATAATTAAAAGTACAATCTAAGATGCAAAATCAAACTATTTTACATGAAAAGTCTTTTTCCATAATTATTATATTTAACCACATTTTTAATTTCATTTAAAAAAACAAGGTTGAAAACCATCTCAAATTTATGAGCATGTGTCCATTGTTTTTTCGGTTTTCAATAAGATGTAGGCATAAATCATAAATGTGACACTTTTTATGTATTTCGATTATCTGATATTTTTATAAAAAAATGTCACTTTTTGATTTTTCTAGATATTATATTTCATAAGTATTTTTAAAAATGAGAATTTTAAATAATGAAATAAATTATAAAGATTTTCATGATATATATATATATATATAGATATATAAAAAATAGTTGAATTTTTTAATTTATCTTTCATTAAATACCTCATTTTAATGCTTTGATAAGAGTTTTGACTTCTTACCAAAAAGTTGAGCTTTCAAAGCCTGGACTCTTTTTTTAATTATTTAATTTATTGTAGATAAATATGTGTCATCGCTCATCAATGTGCCAAAAGGCTTGCTATTTAAAGCCCAAGCCCAAATTAACAAGTTCCAAAGCCCATTTCGATTTTGGGTTCCCAGTTCCACAAAGGATAAAGTCAATAGTCATTAAATATCTCACTTTAGAACATTAGTACATGAAGTTTTATACGCTGTATTTATTAAAACTAGAAAGGTATTTGTGTAATGCATCGAGATACATATTGATTTTAATGTTTTGTTTTATTTATTTGTTGTGTCGATGTAATACGGTTTTATGTGGTCTTGAGAACGCGATAAATTTTTTTATTGATATCAATATCAAATTAACCATTTTAAAAATTATTGTTTTTGATGTAATTTATTTAATTTCAATTTTTTATTATAATTTAATTTAGGTGTAGTAACGAAGTAATTTAATTTAGGTTTAATAACATAATTTTTTATAAAGATAATAACCAAATATTCTGTTAGAACTCAATGATTATCTTAATTATATTTTAGATTTTTTATATTATCCAGTATTTGATTATGTTTATCTGCAGTTAGTTACACGTATTAAAATATTGAGTTTTAGTAAGTTGTACTTATACACAATTTACTTGTAATTTAAATTTTAACCGTACTTCGTGCATAAAAAATGGTTTTTAAGAGTTTTTGTCAAATGTTTTATAATATAGTATAAATTATACAAAAAATAAGTATAATATTTTATAATATTTCAAGTGGAACAATGAATTATTGGAGATTAAAAAAAACACCGACGACATATCTTGGGTTGATAAAAACACTGAGACGAGAAAGTCATAACATCTCCAACAAGTATTATATTTTCTCTCGCTTCTTCTAAATTTGAAGATTTCTCTATTTCTTTTTTTTTCTTCTCCATTTCAGATAAAATTTTAACATAACTGTTGGGACAAAAAAAATTCAGATATCTAAAATCTCTAAAATAATATAACATCTGAAGATGTGCTCAAGAGAACAAATGGGAATTTATTTGGTTAAAATATGATCAAGACAATTTAATATGAAACCTCGTAAATAATTGGAGTTCTTATTACTTATTAATTCATGATGACACATTTTTTTCACCTCAAGAAAAAAGGCATTTCTGATTTTTATTTTTATTTTATTTAAATAAAACAAACTTTTTTAAGAGAAAAATAATCCATTATCTATACTATATTATAAAACATTTAATAAAAACTCTTAAAAACTATTTTTTATGCACGAAGTACTGTTTATTAATGCATATTACTTAAAATTGAAGATTACAAGTAAATTGTGCGTAAGTACAACTTATTAAAACTCTATCTTTGAATTTGTGTAACTAACTGTAGATAAACATAATCAAATACAAGATAAACATCTCATTTTAAATATAAAAAATCTTAAATATAATTAGGATAGTCATTGAGTTCTAACAAAATACTTAATGAATATATTTATAAAAAATTATATTGTTAAACCTAAATTAAGTTAAATTAAATTATAATAAAAAAATTAAATTAAAGAAATTATTAAAAAAATTAAAACTTTTAAATAGTTAATTTGATACTAATATTGTTATATTTTTTTAAAAAATTATGATATTTATAAATTTATATCTTATTCAAAAATAAAAGAATTATCGCTTTCTTAAAATCTTATAAAACTGTATTATATCAACGTAGATAAAAAATAAAATGAAACATTGAAATTGAGATGTGTTTCGATGCTTTACACGAGTACCGTTTTAGTTTTATCTAAAATAAATAAATAAAATAAAATAAAGCCTACAAATAAGATCCAGAGCCCAAATGAAAGCCCAAAACCATAAGCCTGTTAAACTCTTTATTGGGTGCCGGTGGGCCTGAAATTATCCCGTTTCATCAAAATTAAAAGCTGTTTGGCAATTGCTGAATGAAATTAGGCTCTCATGATATAGTGCAAGATGAAATATAATTGTTTGGTAATTGTGTACAATAAAATTAGGGCTCTTAATGGTTAAGAGAGATCTAGAATACAAAATCATTCAGAGGGTTTTAGAACCATTAAAAGATAGACTTTTTTTTGCCAAACAAAATTCACCTCTTAATGATTCAGAAGTTGTCTTTTAATAGAACTATTAAAAGGCAAACAAACACCCCTAGGTGTTCTCTTTTTATTTTGATGGTGACGTAAATAAAATTATAATTTTTATTTTAAAATTAAGTCGAAAAGTGTTTGATGAAACTTATTAGATAAATTAGTTTTACGAACTTTAAAAAAATATCAAAATCGAGTTTAGAAGTTATAGTTGTTGTTATAATTTTTTTCTTAAGCAGTGCGTACCTGCTAAACTTTGTTTATGTTTAGTTTACATTTTTATAGAACACTTAAAGAAAATGTTTTGAAACAAGTACTGATTGTAGGAGGGAAATCAGATCATTCTAATTGCAAAACAAGACTAACAGTCCAACCACCCGTCTAGAGATGCAAATTCAACAAATTATGAAGATGACGTATTCTAATTATTGAAGACAACATCTGGATGAAGCCTATGATTTGATAAGCATTCATTGGTAAAGTAAACCCTTTTAAATACTATTTCTTGTACTGAGTTTGGGAAAATCGATGTTAAAATCGCTTACTCATTTTTCTTCTTACTTTTTCAAGGGATTCTTCTTTACACCTAATCCTTTATTTCAAAATGGGTTCTAGTATACTTATATGATGACAACTTGAGAAGATGACAACTTGAGAATATGACACTTTGGATATCCACTGACTGACACGATGTCATCAATTAAACCTGTAATATGATGTAAATGTAGAATTTTTTTACCTGTAACACATACACGTTCTCTATATCTCTTATTGGTTGTATATATTCCAACCTGTGAGTGCGATATGGAGGAAGATCGAAATAGTGTTTATATAAGCATTTTCAACCGTATGAACTACGAAGTATGTTTCCATATACACTTTCAGCATGTGATTAGTGTTATCAGAATGCCATGTTTTTCAGTATTTTCATATGCAGCACATGGACTTGCTAAACTTATTAGCCAACTAATGTCCAACATGCAATAGCAAAAGTGAAAGAAATGCCTAGTTGATTCCTATGCATTCATTTTCAGTTATATTAGTTTCTTCAATCAGTGTTATTTTGTAGTTTGGTGTGGGACAACTCAGAGGACTTTAGTATGCGTCTCAGTTGTAAGACTTTTGTTGTGCAAATTAAATTCAGTTGCAAATGTTAAGAGAGTTTGAAATATTAGTTATTGTGGTAGAAGTTTCTTGATATTCAGATGTTTTCAAAACAGTTATGAGTAAAAGCATTACTGTTAACACCTTTTGGGATTTAAGTGGGGTGTTACAGTCTATTGTTCCCGTTGATATCAAACAACCTGACAATTAACAACAAAAGAAAAAGGTCATTTTTTGTTGTGTTCTTGAAACAAAAGAAAAAGTAATGAATTGTCCAGACAAGAAGTTCGGTTGAGGAATCCCCATGTGTAAGGTATGATTTGGATGTAAAAGTCCTGTATTCGGATCGCGTTAGAAGTAAATAATGTCGTAGACGTGAGTCCTTTAACCGCCGTTAAAAATTTCAGTTAAATAAAAGTCATTTTCGTTCTTTTATCGGTTTTTTATCTTCTACCCAATCAAAATCGATTTTATGATTTTGATCTGTATGGTTTTTGATTGAATAAAAGAATAAAAATACTCCTCGTTTAACATAAAATTTTAGTGGCCGTTAAAAGGACGGATCAATCCAGGCGTTCTTTTAAACCACAATGACGGTCTTGTAGTTTCAAAACAGAATAGATAAAAAGTGTTATTTTTAACAAACCACATGGACAAGATTTGTAGTTTACTCGAAAACATTTCATAAATCTAACCATCTGCATAATATCAAGACGTAAAACTTGTATGTAATGCAGACTTTATTTGAAAAATTAAAATCTAATCATTAGACTTGTAGGACTAAAAGATTATATATGTCTCATAAGGTTGGGTTTCGGTGAGAAAATAGTGAAGATGAGAATCGTAAGAATATATCTACACCTTCAGATGCATATTAGGATGAGATTCACCAGACCAATCCCCATGTCAATTGCAATTCATGGATGAGTTTGAGATTAAATATAATCAAAGGTTTACATCTCATCTTACGCTTCTCACTTTAACTCTTCTTCTCATATGATCATTCTCATTATGTTTAGGGATTAATAATCGTAACAACCCAATCTCTTTTTATAATATTTTAAAATATCTTGATTTAATTTTTATTTCATCTTATTTATTAAACTGACATTAATCATTTAAGTTGAGTTAATTAATATTAACATGTAGTTGTCAATATTCTCTCTATATCAGTTCTAAAATTACAATATTGCATAAAATACTGTGTAATATTCTAATACTTATTAATTTTATATATATGTGTGTGAAAACATAGAGAAAAAATTTGAACCATTGATCAGTTTTAATTTCATGTACACCTATGAATTGTATTTTAGAATGAAATCGATCCGATGCATCTTGGTGCATCTCATTTATGTTGACATTCAATTAATATATAATCAAATGGTGCAGATATATTCTACGTTTCTCACCATAATTTCTATTTTAATCCAAAACTGAATCTATGCATGAAAATGATACATCAAAAACACAAAATATAACTGATAATAGAATTTTCTCATTTAATTTGTGGGTTTGAATTTTGTTTATTATATTTATTTAGAAAAAAACATTTTTATGGGTTTTGAATATTATAAAAAATATAGAAAAAATGGAGGGGTATGGGGAGAATATATATGGTGACAAGGAGGTTAAGGTTGAAGGTAAAGATGGGCAGGAATTGGGCATGACGCAGGTTGCATGTGCCGATGAGGTGGCCACCGACTAATGGACGCTTTATTTGGTTTTTTGGCAAAATGTCGTCATTTTCAATACAACTAATAACTTTATCTAAAAATTCATTTACGCTCTCCATAAATTTTTAACTTTATTTTCTAAACCAGTGTTCCAACTGTACATTGTATGGTAGCGATAATATCATATTAAAAAAGAATGTTATATACTAAAATTTAAAGTACTCTTCTAAAAAAATTGAATAAATGTGTGTGCTAACTACTCATTAACATTAAAAGTTTTTAAGATGATTTGACAACAATATTAGAACCATATGCTAATTTAAATTATCTAATTATTCTCGACAACGTGGTTGCAAAGTACTATACAAATGTTTAACTAATGTTACTAGTTTGTTTAATTAGAAGTCACAGTTTTAACTGAAATCTCATTTGAAGTTATAAGAAAAAACGTTATATAATATTTCAAGTGAAAATTAGAGGAGTGAGTTAGTTGTAACAACAATACTGGAAATTCAAGGCAATGCATGAAAAACCACATCACCAAATTAAGATAATGGATTTTCTTTCATAAAAAATAAAATTAACATCAAGTGGGGTCAATGACTCACATATCAGATATTAAACTGATAAAAACACTACATTTTATCATAACATTCTATAATATTTGAATTGTAGTAACATCCAGACGACAGATAAATAACTATCTCATTTTGCCGAATCATCATCCTTGGTTTTTCTTTTATATTTGTACTATAATTTTTATTATTCAGTTGATTTTGATTACAACTATGTATAGATTTCAAAAATGGCCATTCAAAATAAGATAATCTATGAGGCAAATCTCATGATTTGACATAAATACATCTAATCCACATTTTGTTATACACTTCACTTTGTTCAAATCTTTCTAGCTTTTTATCAATGCGGAACAACTAAAATTCAACAACAATTCACCATTTAAAAATATTCAATTCTCATGGTGTCACCCCAATACCTCAAGGTTTTCTTTTTATACATGAAGATTGTGTTTATTTTGAAGTTTAAATAAGAATAAAACAAAAGTAACTTTATTTTGAACATATTTTCCTTAAGTTAAATTGTTTCACTTTTTTAAAATAATTATTTGAAATTTAATAATTTTTAATTCCCGAAGAAGATATATTATTGTAGTAATATGTATTTATTCAATAATATAATCAGATTAGCTAATAAGGAATTTAAACAATAGGCATAAATAATTATAATTAATCTCAAAATTAAGTCACATTTGAAATTAAGTGCGTTGAGCTGCTTTTTATTTAGAAGAAATCAAACAAATGAATTATAAAAAAAATTATTTGTTACAAAAATGAAATGGAAAATCATGTAACTGTATTGAAATATTTACAAAGGTCAAAAGTACGTGGAGGTCTCAGATTCAAATCCAAGGAGAAATAAAAATCTCTTTGTGACCACGGAGGTTCAAATGCGGTGACTACGGACTATCTGCAAAACAGATGGTCACGCTGTGATTAGTTGACTCGCATAATAAATTGGATATCCAAGTTAATAATAAAAAAACACTTATAAATTTGTAACAATATTAATAGGGGTACATTGGTATAACACAAGTTTATGCCAACACCAAATATTGTACAAAATACAATTTCTACATAAAATCAAATATCTACATCATAATGGTTAATCGAGGATTTTTTTGGGGGTAGGGGTCTCAGAGAAATTTATCAGGAGGGGCCAGGGTTGGAAACAATAAATATGAGTATATGTAGAACACTCACATTAATTTGCAAAAGAGCTCTTCAGGATCGAAGAGAGTTTCTAACATATATTGAAGAGAATATGGTCGAAGTCTAATCGAAGTGGAGCTCTAACACACACTCTCCAAGAAAAACCTAGATGCCTAGATAGGCACAGGTTGTCAAGGATATCGTGAGGGGACTACACGGGTAAGTGGACTAGACGTGTATAGATTGTCCCAAATGCCCAAGTACCTAAAGTGATAGACATTTACTGTAATATCATACGATAAATAATGTAGAAGCTATTAGATTATAATAATAATAAATTTTGGTTAAAAATCAGAATTAAATGTTTTTTTTTCCTTTTAATTTGACATATGACGATTAAGACCATAGTCTGGTTATGGATCTGTCCCTAAATACTAAGACTTGTATAACAAATTACCAACTTAATGTTACAAATTGGTATGATATAATAGCAAGATCACAAACATGATATTTATTTTGTAACGTCATCGTGGTAATTTCATAACATGTTTTTCGAAACATTTCGGAACTTTCATATAATAATAATTGTTCACATTATGTAAATTAACATTTTTATAGTAATTATTCGTTAAGTTATTTAAAAGGGTATTGAAAAAGTAGAAATAGAAATATACATTTTTAAAATTACATAATCATTACATTTTTAATCAATTAGATGAGTATTGAATTTTTAATAATCAAGAGAATTAATGAGGAGTTTGGGATTGCTTATAAAAACAACTTATTGATTTATTTCATTGTGACATCGGTAATAATCATTTTTAATTCTTTGGATAAACAACTTATATCGGTGTCAAACCGATAATAAATTTTTTTAAATAAGTTAAATCATTCTAACTTATAATAAATTAATAAATACTTTAAAAAAATATAAATTATTTTAAATAAGCAATTTCAAATATTCTCTAAAAATCTATCCATGTCATAATTAAAAGTAAACATTAAAATATGGTGAATATTTAATTTAAAAGAAATAAAAATATGTACAGAAGCGGAGAGGGAATACAAAATAAACGCATATGCAGCGGGTCTCGTGAACTGTCGCTGGGGCCCACAGACATCCAACAACTTCCACGTTGGCATGGTCAATCATCCATTCCATCCTTGTCACCTTTTTCCTTTTATTTTAATTATTTTCCCTCTATTATCTTTTCCCATGTTGTGTGGTACCAATTTTTTGCATTTTTTTTTATTTTAAAAATTAGTTTGTTGTTTTTCTATAAATAGTTCAATGCATATTTTGGTTGGATTATAGTTTGATAACATATTTTAAAAAACTAGAAACGTACTCGTGTAATCTAGCGAGATACATCGTAATTTTAATATTTCATTTCATTTTTTATCTCAGTCGATATTATAATATAGTTTTATGTAATTTTGAGAAAGCGATAATGTTTTTATTTTTGAATAAAATATGTTTGAAAATATCATAAAATTTTGACAAAAATATATCGATATTAGTATCAAATT